AAAAAAAAAAAAAAAAAAAGAAGAAGGAAAGAAATGGAAGTCCCTGACTCTAGGGGAGCTGGTCCCTGTCCTGGAAATTTTCTTGAGGCTCATCTCTCCTGCACACTGGAAAAAGAAGCCTTTGAGCTTCGCTCCCCAGTCCCAGGCCCGACGCACCAATCTGTCCATACGCCATGCTGATAAGCCGCTCGTTCACCAGCTTGTCTGTCTGCGGGTTCCGTGGCTGCCGCTTCATGATGTCACTCTCAGCAGCTTCATAAGCCAAGGAGATGGCAGGGACCTGAGTGGGTAGGACGGAGGGAAGGGAGGGCATTTGAAGGGATGTGGGAGATGACTCTGAGACACCATTCAGCCCACATGTATTGACACCCTATGATCCTATGGCCTGTGCCCGTCAGCCTCCTGAGAGTACCTCTCCTTCATCTGCACCGAGCCACCCACTGCGGTGACATGACTTCCTTGTCTGCCCCCTACTTCCTTTGGCCTCACCATATCTGTGCCCAGGTCAATGCAGAGGATGGTCACGGTGCCCAGAGGGAGGGGGATGTTGGCAATGATGAACAGCAGGAAGGGGGTGATCTCAGGGATGTTGCTGGTCAGGGTGTACGCGATGGATTTCTTCAGGTTGTCAAAAATCAGGCGGCCTGTGGAGAGGTCCGGGGGGCGTCAGGGGGATGAGAGGAACCCTTCCCACCCCTATCTCCTGAGGGAGGAAGGTTTTATGTTTGAGGGCACCTAAAGCAGGCTGGGGCTGCCTTCTGGAACCCTGGGTTGACCCTTTCGTGGGGGTAAAAGGTACGAGAAGCAGAGATGCTGGCTTCAGACGTCAGGTGCTGCCCCAACACGTTCAGCCTCCTCACCCTCCTCCACGCCTGTGACGATGGAGGCAAAGTTGTCGTCCAGCAGGATCATGTCGGCCGCCTGCTTAGAGACGTCAGAGCCAGAGATGCCCATGGCGATGCCAATGTCCGCCTTCTTCAGCGCAGGGGAGTCGTTCACCCCGTCGCCTGTCACCGCCACAATGGCTCCCTGGAGAGAAGGTATGGCCGACGCTTGAGGGCCAAGTCCGTGCTGGTCTGACCCCTGACTTTCTCCTGTCCCCGTCTCCTGCCACCCCGCTCACCTGCCTCTGACACCCCTCCACGATGATGAGCTTCTGCTGGGGAGAGGTCCTGGCAAACACGATCTCCGTGTGGTCTCTGAGGATCTCATCCAGCTGCTCCGACGTCATGTCCTTGAGGTCCGAGCCGTGGACCACACATGCTTTGGCTTCTCTGGAGGGTAGGGGAAGCAGGGACTGAAAGCTTGTGCCCAAGCCAGTCCCCCTCCACCCCCTGGCCACCTCTGGGCCCCAGGCTCCTGCTAAGTTGGGCTCCCTCGTTGTTTCAATGCCCCTCTCTCTGAATGCTCAGTTCCCCCATTTCTCTCTGAGGAGGTGACACTACATCCTCATGCAGCATCACCATGGGCATAAGTCCAGTGTGCCAGGTGTGTGCTGGTCCCCTCGTGCATATCCCACTCCTGCAGTAACCCTGAGTGTAGATGCAGATGGTTTTGTTGTTGTTTTTGGTAGCAGGGACTCACACATGCTAGGCAAGTGCTCTACCACTGAGCTTCACCCCCAGCCCTTTCTATTATTCATTTTGAGACAGGATCTCGCCAACTTGCCCAGGCTGGTCTTGAACTCAGAATCCTTCTGCCTCAGCCTATGAGTAGCTGGGGTTACAGGCAGGTGCCACCATGCCCTGCTGGCACCCTCATTTTGTAATTGAGTAAATACAGGTTCGGGGAGGTGAAGTGATGCCTTCAAGGTGACACAGATTGTTAGTGGAGACGTCTGGACCCACACTCAGGACTGAGGAACCAGTCACAGAGGTCAGAGGTCAGGCCCTCACCTGAAGGTCCCAGAGATGCTGTGCACACACTCACTCCCAGGGGAACTCCAGACCTCCGTGGGAGAGGATGTGTTGATTAGGAGCAAGGGGTTCCGGCAAAGGCCTCACCTGGGGTTGACTTGACTCACGGGGATGTTGAGCCGGGCTGCAATGTCCTCCACCGTCTCATTACCCTCTGATATGATGCCCACACCTTTGGCAATGGCCTTGGCTGTGATAGGGTGATCACCAGTTACCATAATCACCTGGTGGGAAGGATAGGAAGAAAAGGACAGCACTGTTGACATTTTCACCCACTAGTCCTTTTCCAAACTCGGATAAAGACAGACAATTTCATATCTGAAGCTGGTGGGTCCCAGTGCAAATAGTGAAAGTCGGGGGCAGTGCATGGGGGAGACCATGACTCATTGCATAGTGTTCAGGGGAGCTGAGATAGTTTGTTTAAATGGGGGAAAGCGTCCACGACAGAGTGCAAGTTCAGGAGGATCCCCTGAAAGAGAAGGCTCAGTTCTTTAGGATTGTTTAGATTTTTTTCACTTTTTCTTGTTTTTTGGATCTGGGGATTGAACTCAGAGGTGTTCTACCACTGAAGTACATCCCCAGCCTTTTTTTTTTTTTTTTTTACATTTTGAGACAGTGTCTCTCTAAATTGCTCAGGGCCTTGCTAAACTGCTTTGAACTCATGGTCCTCCTGCCTCAGCTTCCCAAGCTGCTGGGATTACAGGTGTGAGCCACTGCACCCAGCCAGCCTGTTAACCGGTCTGCCCGACTTCAGCTCTCCCCCCAATCCAGTCCCTCCTGCGTCTAGTAGCCTTGAAGCCAGGCCGGTGACATCTGGGCCCTTTGTGACATACAGGATAAAGGCCAAATCTGGAATCTAAGTAAAGTTGTTCCAACTGGTCCTGATCCAACATTCCCATCTCAATCCCCAGGGCTCCTCTGCCATCTCTCCCCCAACCCTGCCCCCTCCACCTGCTCTGGTCCCCTACAATGTAGCCATGTCAGGGCACATGCTGTTCCCCGGCTCTTGCCATGACTTCCCTTCTCTGACTGCCTTACAGAACACCCTTCAGCCTTCAAGGCCCAGATCAAGTGTCATCCCCTGTGTCGAACATTGTCCAGCTCTCTGAGTTAACTTCTCCCTGATCTGACCTCCCACGGAGTCCTTGCCCAGGCCACCATGATTGAGGCTTCTGAGCCGGGAGGAGGAGCAGGGCTTCCAGACAAGCCGGCCACGCTTCACATTCTCCAATCCACCTCTTTCAGCAGTTCTATTTTGAGCAAGCTATTTAGCCACTTTGAGTTTTCATTACTTTTTTAAATGGAGGTAATGATGTTTCCCTTAGAGACCGAGTGTTCAGGGTGAGATTCAGAGTCTACACACACACACACACACACACACACACAGTACCAAGTCCTCCGGTGCGATGGTTGGGAAATAACAGGGGGCGCTGGGGTTGTGGCTCAGCGGTAGAGCGCTTGCCTGGCATGCACGAGGCACTGGGTTTGATCCTCAGCACCACATAAATGTAAAATAAGGATATCACGTCCATCTAAAACTTAAGAATAAATATAAAAAAAATAGCAGGATTTGCCTTGGTTCAAATTCTCTCTCTATGACTGTCTGTGTGACCTTGGATTTGTTCCTTTCCACCTCAGTTTCCCTTTCTATGAAAAATGGAAAACACTGATGGTTACTCAGAGAGCTATTATGAAGATTAAATGAGATCGTGGAGGTTTATTGCTTATAATAGAGCTTGACTCATGTAAAAATTTAAACAACTGAATTTTTGCAGTGCTGGGGATCCAGCCTAGGGCCTTAAGCACTCTACCACTGAATCCCAGACTCAGCCCTAATTGACTGTTTTTATGAGAGTACCTGACCCATAATAGGAGCTTGATGATCTAACTGTTCTGCTTGTCCTGTGATGGGCTGTAAATGCATCTGACTCCCTCGAGGGACCAGAGATTGGAGGCCAAGCCCTCCCTGAGTCTCATTCATCTTTGTATCACCAGTGCCTAGCACAGGACCTGGCACTCTGTAGATGGCCTAAGTGGCATTCATTTGGGAGCATCTGAGATGTTGAAAGAAGAAGAGCGAGTGATAGTACCAGAGTGGAGGACCAGAAAAGGGGGATGGTAAACAGCTGTCTTGGAAACAGGAAAGTGAGAAGATGGAAGAAAGGTTTCGGTTGTTGACTCCAGCACCTTGCACAGTGCCTGGTATACAGTTGGCAAACAAATATTTGTTGAGAAGAACAAACATAGCACGGAGGAGGGAGTGGTCCGTGAGAAGCCAGTGCAGTTGGGAACGGTATGGGGATATCTATGGGGTGACGGGCTCAGTGACTGGGGGCAGACAAGAGCCTGCTGATCCCAGTGCAGACGGTTCGAGAGTGGGCAGGAGTGGGGAAAGGCCAGACAACCAGGGCTCCAAGGGAGGGGAGCCTGCCTGTGCTTGCAATCAGGAGGGCAGTCTGTGGGACATGAGCTGTGCCAGGGAGGCAGAGGATGGCTCGGGAAACTGACCACTCCCAGCAAAGAGAGGGCAAGAGCTCCAGGCCGGGGCCTACTTCTCCCTCTGGAGGGACAGCTCCTCTGCGTCAGTGGGAAGGCGGCCCCGTGGGCTGTGTCTCTCAACGCAGCAGCTAACTGCAGTCCCTTGACCTTGGGCAGGAGGGCGGTGAGGACAGAGGGGAGGAAGGGAAGCCGGTACCTTAATGCCTGCACTTCGGCACTTGCCCACAGCATCTGGCACAGCTGCCCGCGGGGGATCGATCATGGACATGAGCCCCACAAAGCAGAGCTTCTCCGTGGGAAAGTTCAGTTCATCTGTGTCGAATTTGAAGCCCCGAGGAAACTTTCCAGAAGGCAGATTCAGATGACAGAAACCTGGGGGTGGGCGGAAGGGAGGAGTGAGGGCCGCAGAGTAGCTGCCTGGGCACCCCCAGGGGTCCCTGCCCCAGGGACACCGCAGAGGCTTGGGGGTCCCTTTCTCAGCCCTGGGCCCCTTTTCTGCCCCCTCACCCAGCACACGCTCCCCCAGTCCTCCCAGCTCCATGTAGGCATTTTGAAAGGCGTCTTGCATCTCCTTGTCGAGAGGGATCTCCTTGCCCTGCACCAGGATGGTGGAGCACCGGTCCAGGATGCGCTCTGGGGCCCCCTTCATTACCAGCACATGGCTCTGGGGGCTGTCTTCTCGCTCGTGGATGGACAGCTGGAAAGGGGGAAGGCAGTTACAGTATGTGTCTTGGTGGGCTCCACTGCCCAGCACAGGACTTGGTTCAGAGCAGTGAGCTCTGGTAAGGAAATCTCCTTTAAAAAATCCAATCAAAGAGTGTCCACACAGGGAGAATCTCTGTGTGTAAAAAAGGATGCTTATAGTCCCAACTCTTGTGATCTGAGAGTTGCTTCCATAGGACAGTCATTCATTCAACAAATAGTTATTAAGATTAGTTAAGAAGCCAGGCATGGTGGCACACACCTGTAATCTCAGTGACTTGGGAGGCTGAGGCAGGAGGAACGTGAGTTCAAAGCCAGCCTCAGCAAATTAGCAAGGCCTTTACTCACTTAGTGAGACCCTGTCTCAATATTAAAAATCAGTTAAGACAGGCACTGTGCTAGCAGATAGATGGGCTTCATGAACACCCCCCCATCCTGCACCGGCCCAGGGGGCTTTACCTTCACGGCTCATAGACAATATAGCTGAGGCTGTTCTTAGCATGTAGCAGATGTCTAAAAACTGATGATGGCTACCATAAGGGAATTAGAGAAGCATGCTTCAGTTAAATGGGATGGCAGAGCTGGAGGACTTTGGACATGGATGGGGAGCTATGGGAAGACGAGTTGGGAGAGTGACAGTCTGCATGTGTAAGGGATGTAGGAAGGTCTGGGGGTTAGTGGGTGATTGCAAGCAGACATGCCGTCAAGCAAGTGGTTCTGGGAGTGAGCAGGGATGAGAGGACACGACCTTCAGAGGCCTCGACCTTCAGAGGCCTCATTCATTCTTCCTATTGATCCCCTTTGGCTATAGCCACTCTCCATAATTTTTCCCTTTCTCTCCCTCTGTCCCAGAAGCCCATCCAGACCTGGTACTTGTTGGTAGAGTTGAAAGGAATCTCTGCCACCTTGGGGTTCCTGTCCCTCATCTTCCTCACTGAGCCACAAGACAGCTCAATGCACTTGAGCAGAGCTGACTCAGAAGCATCACCAGCTGTGTCCCGCTGCCAGAGAGAAGAGAATTTCGTGTCACAGTAGGGGGAGGAAGGGAGTGGAGGACTAGAGAGGAGGGCACTCAGGTCCCCAAGGCAGCCCCACAGGGTGTGGGGGGGAAAGCTGGGCACCACAGGGGGACTCTGGAGACATCCCCCCACACACCTGCTGTGTGGCTGGCTGACTCCCTACCTTGGACACAGAGATGTTCTCCTGTCCAGCCTTGAACACAGCGCGGTTACAGAGACCAGCAATCCTAGAGAGGGCTGTCCACGTCGGGGATCGTTTGTCAAAAGTGGCCCCTGGGAAGAAATGAGGGAGAATCAGTATCAGTAACTTGGCTCCCGTGTGTGTGTGTGTGTGTGTGTGTGTGTGTGTGTGTGTCTGCGTGTCGTCCTGGGGACTAGACCCAGGGACACTCTATCTCTGGACTGCATTCCAAGCCATCTTTTAAAATGTTGACCCAAGGTCTGGATAATTGCCAAGGCTGGTCACAAACTTGCAATTTTCTTGCCTCGGGCTCCTGAATTGCTGGGATCACAGGTGTGCACCACCATGCCTGCCTTTGCCCCCCTTTTAGAACCCGTATCTCACCCCCAGCCACCCTGCCGTTGTGACGCCCTCCATCCCCTTCCGTCCCCCAGGAGCGCCCAATCACCAGACTGATCCTCAGTGGTGTCAGCCTCATGGATCTGGTTGTCAAACCACATGTGAGCGACGGTCATGCGGTTCTGGGTGAGGGTGCCCGTCTTGTCCGAGCAGATGGTGGACGTGGAGCCCAGCGTCTCTACCGCCTCCAGGTTCTTCACCAGGCAGTTCTTCCGTGCCATGCGCTTGGCTGTCAGGGTCAAGCACACCTGATTGAGAGAGAGGAGAATTAAAAAGGGTTAAAGTTTGGAGCTATGGATGTCCATGACCTTGTCCTAGACCATGGCTCTATTCTGTCTTCCTTCCTCCTTGCAGCGAATAGTGAATGTGTTCAACTTCAGATGCGTTGAGTTGGGATCATAGGTGTATGTTAGGGTTAAGTGCCCAGCAGGGGGTTGAAGATATCAGACTGAACTCCAGAAAGGGAGTGGGGATGTGACTGCCATCCTCACAGAAGGTGCACTAGAAACTGCGGGAGGAGATGGGTTCATGCTGGGGGTACAAGGAGAAGAGCAGAAGGCTGAAGCCCGATAATCAGAGTAGGGGATGGAGGAGAAGAGAACCAGGAGAGTGACCCACAGAGGACAGGATTCTAGGAGGATGAACAGCAGTATCCATTTCAGCTGCAGAGTTACGGATGGGAGCTGAGAAAAGGTCACTGGATCTGCTTGTTAGTCATTTGTGACCTTTGAGAAAGCCTTTGCAGGCAAGTTGGCCAGGAGGATCCCCAGCCGGCAGCAGAGGGATGAGCACATGGTGAGAAAAGGTGACCATAACAAGCTCCAGAGGAGAAATCCAAGGGCCCAGATATACTCCAACTCGAGGCTTTTCAGACTCAAACTCTGAACCATGAATCTATCACATGATCTCTCAGAACAGCACCTGATATGGGACTTTAGGCACTCGATATTAACAAAAAAAATGCTGAACGCTAATAAGCACTTGTGTCTCTGTCATTTTGAGGACAGGGTCATGAGGGCTTCCCCTGGTGGTACTTCCGTCTGATTACTCACAGTCACAGTGGCCAGAAGCCCCTCGGGCACATTTGCCACGATGATGCCAATGAGGAAGATGACTGCCTCCAGCCAGCTGTAGCCCAGGATGAGGGACAACACGAAGAAGGAGACCCCCAGGAACACAGCCACCCCTGTGATGAGCTGGATGAAGTGTTCAATCTCCATGGCTATCGGTGTGCGCCCAACCTCGAGGCCTGAGGCCAGAGTGGCAATGCGGCCCATGACTGTCCGGTCACCTGTGGCGATCACCACACCCCTGGCAGTGCCTGAAACAGAGGTAGGGACACCAGGATGATGCCTTGGGGCTTCCAGGGATGTTTCTGAGCAAAGAAAACCATGAGCTCGAGAACTCAGATCCTGGAGCCTGTTTTCAGTAGGTGGTACCTCGCACAAGCTTACCCTCCCTGCATAGGTCACCAATCCCAGACTTGATACAAGAGCAAATTATTTTCTCTTATATTTGGGCCCCAGGATCAGCCTTACAAATCATTCTGAAGTTCAAAGGGAGGAGATCCGATAAATAAAGTAAAACTTGCCTGCAGCATTTTAGTTAAAATCAATCTTGATACTATCCAAAAGCATATTGTGAACACAAAGCACTCATTATGGATTTTTTTTGTGTGTGTGTAATCTCAAGATTTGATTTCTTGATGTTTGTTTCACGTTTCATGAATTTCTGTAAAAGGAGCTAGGTAATTATTAACTCTTATGTGATATTACAGGGATTCTTTGGGGAAAAGAAGTGTGGTATAGTGTAAAGGATATGAAAGTTGAAGTCAGCCAATTTGGGTTTGAATTCCTACCTAGAGGTTGTTTTAATAATTAAATAAGATAATGTCACGGGCTGGGGCTGTAGCTCAGGGGCAGAGTGTTTGCCTAGCATGTGTGTGGCACTGGGTTCGATCCTTAACATCACATAAAAATATAAAAATAAAAATTCTGTCCATCTATAATTACAAAAGAAATTTTTAAAAAAGATAATGCCATCATGTACCTAGGTCAGTGACTGGCACACAGTAGGCAATCAACAGCTGTCAACTCCATTCACTTCCTTTCTTCAAAGCCAGTTGCAGAATCAACAATATGAATATCTTATCAAGCATTTCCGAACAAATCAATTGTGGGAAATGTAAATTTCAGAATCTCAGCATATTAAAAATTCAGGAAATTTAATGCATGATTATTTTTATTGTAATCCCAATTTGCTGAAGGAGGAAAACAACCCCAGGGAAACATAATATCCTGAGGAGAAATGAGTGATCGGAAGGGAAAGGTGTGGAATTTGGACACAAGGTCTCCTTTGTCCCACTTTCAGAGGCCTGCGGTCTAGTTGGGTCTCTTTTCCCCCCTGTCTCTTACTGCCTGCTCCTTCCCTGAGTCATCCTGACTCAGCTCACTGGCTTGACCACAGAGGGCACAGGTTTCAATTGTGCTTGGACCCCTGCCTTTAAGTAATGGCAGCTCCAAGAGTTCTTATTGACTTTTGCTGTCCATCTTTAGAATCCCAAACAGGGATGGGGCAGAGTGGGCAGCCTCTTCAAAGTGAGTCCTAAATGCAGCCTGAAGAGGGACCCAATGTTCATCTGAAAGCTTTCCTCAATCTCCCCCAGTCTGGAGCTCTGGTCAAAGTGAGGAGATGGAAGCCACTAGTCCACAACCACAATCAATAGAAGGCATCAGTTGAATCCAACGATGACTAGGAATCTGTATGCGCATGTATATGTGGTACTGAGGATTTAGCTCAGGGGTAGAGTGCCAGCCCTTTTTGTGTTTTAGTTTGAGATAGTCTTGCTAAGTTGCCAAGGTCAACCTGAAACCTGCAATCCTCTTCCTCAGTCTCCCAAGTAGCCGATGCTACAGGTGCGTACCAGCATACCCAGCCATGTGCAGGTAGGTGTGGGGGGTCCTTGACCCAACACCTGAAGGCTTTGGAAACCACTTAGTGTCAGGATGGACAGGCCAGAGATTTTCCCATGGAGTTATACTGCCCCGGCCAGTGTTCTGAGAGCACTCTGGAGGGTGCTATTTCTATAATATTCAGGGCCTCCAACTCCTCAACGCCACTTTCTATGGCAGAGTTTTTACCAAGTAAGTGACATCACAGGCCCCAGATTTGGGACTCCGTTGTGCTACGAGGAGCTCCCCTAGCAGGTCAGCTCCTTACCTTCCACGCAGTTGGTAGAGAAGAAACAGATATTGCGGGTCTCCAAGGGGTTCTCGTGGGTAAACTCGGGGGAACGGGTCTGGGGCTCTGACTCGCCTGTTAGGGACGAGTTATCCACCTGAAGAGGAAAAAGTGTGTAGTCATCAGCTGGGCAGAAGCACTCGTGTGCACGCAGCTGTCTCCTGAACCTGCTCCAAGCACCCTTAATCTTCACGACAGGAGGAACAAAATTACACTTGGCCTCATCACATATTTATGGCATTACTCAGCTATGGTCCCTGCTCTGATTTGGAATCCTGGCTCTTACTGACTTCTTATGTGACTTCGGGTTATTTGCTTAACTAACAGAGCCTCCATTTACTCATCAATAAAATGGAGAATGGGAACAAAATCACTACATTGCCTACCTCCAGGGGGCACCACTAACACTATTTGTAGTCTGAAAATGGTGTCTCCTGAGGTTTCCCAGGGCTTAATTTGTGGGGTCACATGCACCATTTTTTCATACTGCAGTCAAATAGCATGTGTGAACTTATGTAAAGAATCTGACACATAATTCGTACTCAATACATGATCACTGTAAAGGGGCAATCAAATAAATACCCAGGGTATACAGCATTCACAACACACAGAAACAAGGCAACAGTGCAAAAGAACCATCTGTCATTAGAAGGTTCAGCTGGGAGACCCAGGGGAGGAGTTGACATTAGGAATTACATTTCCAAATTTTTAAACCTCCAAGTGGGCCACTCTCAGTTCTGTACGGTCTGCTTCTTAGATCTAACCACTTGCTCTGCTGTGACCTCCTCACCTTACAACCATGAGAAGAGATGATCCGGAGGTCAGCAGGAACACGGTCTCCACCCTTTACTTCCACCAGGTCACCCACCACCACCTCCTCCGCGTTGATCTGCATCTTCTCTCCCTCCCGGATCACGAGGGCTTGCTGAGGAGAGGCCATAGGCATCTCATGAAATGCTTGTCTCCATCCCTGCTCTCACCTCCTGATGGTCCCCTCCAACCCCACCAAGGGTGAGGAGAAGCCCCCACACTCTTGACGACAAAACTAAAGACCTAGGTCCTGGTGTAGGGAACTGGAGAGTCTTTTCTATCCTTTTCCATCACAGAGCACAAAGGTTGAGAGGGGCATAAGTTGGACCATCCCAGAACCCTTATGCCCCGGCCTTGCCATCTACCTGAGGCACCATGTTCTTGAAGGAATCCATGATCTTGGAGCTTTTGGCCTCCTGGTAATAGGAGAAGCATCCAGTGACGATGACCACAGCTGCCAACACCACACCCAGATACAGCTGATAAGGAAAGAGATTTTTTTTTTTTTTGTACTGAGGATTGAACCCAGGGGAACTTAACCACTGAGCATATACCTAGTCTTTTTTATTTATAAGACAGAGTCTCACTAAATTGCCCAGGCTGTCCTCAAATTTGCAATCTTCCTGCCTCAGCTTCCGGAGTCACGGGGATTACAGGTGTATGTCCTGCTCCTGGCAAGGAGAGGGCATTGGAGGGATCTGACCTTCTCCACCCTAGAGGGGCGACTGTCACTCAGAGTGGATACTCAATTTCATCCTATAGGAGAGCTCGGACTTCCACCTGTGCCTGGGAGTAAGAATGGCAGGGGAAAGTCTTTTCAACCTCCTTAGATATTCCGACTCCCAATCTCCTAGGATAGAAGGGGCAGGGAACATCTCAGAGAGTTCCCAGGGCTGAGATTTCTCCAGGGGTGAAGACCCAGGGAAGAGGACAAGCCCACATCCATGGGGGAGGAACAGAGAGAGGCTGCAGGACTGAGTCTGTGTGTTGGGGAGAGCGTTATAGATGCGCACTGAAGCCTCACTCCTTTATCTGCCTGAGGTTCAGGGTCAGCTACGGATCTGTGACGCGAGGCTCCTATTCCCTGCACCCTCCCCATCACTGTATTGGGGGTTTAGAGTGGGACACAGGGCCACTAGCTGGGCCAGGGGTCAAGTGCAGCTTACGTTGTCATTGGACGGTTCATCCTCCATGGCAGCCTGGATGCCATAGGCCAGGAAGCAAAGGATGGCCCCGATCCATAGCAGGATGGAGAAGCCCCCGAAAAGCTGGCGACAGAACTTGACCCACTCAGGGGTTGTGGGGGGAGGAGTGAGGGCATTGGGCCCGTCCCGAGCCAGAATGTCTTGAGCCCGCTGGTTGGTGAGGCCCTAGGGAACAAGAAAGGTGTGGAAGCATCTGGAACCAACAGGCCCTCCCCACAGCCCAACAGCTCCTTGGCAGGGAAATGATGTCCATCTGCAAAGGAAAAACCCCACCTGGTTGGAGGGGGCCGGGGAACACGAGCAGAGACCCCACAGAGGAGGTGGCATTTGTGAGGGGACTGGAGGCCTTGCAGGCTCAAGAGGATTTTGGCTGTGGCTCCACCTCTGGTTGTTTTGGGATTGAGACACATTTTGGTTAGGACCAAACATCTCCCTGGAGGCAGGCTGGAGATAAGCCCCCTGGAAGGAGACCTCATCTGGATCTTCCTCACCGCTCTCTCTCTCTCTTTTTTTAAGTTCCCCCTTGTTACCAAGGCTACAAAGAGGGCTATACATCACTGACCATCAGTATTACTCAACTTTCCACCGAAAACCTGGCCAGGCGCTGTTCCCCTGGTGCCAGGCTCATGGGTCAGATGCCCTTTTCTGTATTCCCATAATATAGTAATAAAATTCTGTTTGCAATTCTGTTTATTTGTTTGTTGCTGCTAAACTTTGATCAGGAATTTCTCCTTTCTTAATTTTTGGGATATACTTGTGATTGAACCCAAGTACCACTTAACCACTGAGACACATCCCCAGTTCCCCCCCGCTTTTTTGAGACGGGTTCTTGCTAAATTGCATTAGGGACTAAGCTAAGTTGTTGAAGATGGCTTTGAATTTGTGATCCTCCTGCCTCAGTCTCCCATGCTGCTAGGATTACAGGCGATTTCTTTTTATTTATCTTTGTGTCTATCATTCATTCATTCATTTACTAAATGTGTATTGAACACCTACTACATATCAGGAACTATGCAGAATCCAGCAATGGACAAGACTAGCAAAGTCCCTACCCTTGTGGAGCCTGTGATCTAGAGAGGTTATGAGCACAATAAACAAATGCATATTAATGCCAAGGAGTGCAAAGCGTGGTTGAGGAAAATAAAGTAAGGTAAAGGTATGGGGGCATGGAATTTTAAGAAGGGCAGCTGATGGCTTGGGAGGCTGTGGCAGGAAGAGCTCATGTTTAAAGCCAGCCTCAGCAACTTAGGGAGGCCCTAAGCAATTTAGGAGACCCTGTCTCAAAATAAAAATTTAAAAAAGGCTGAGATGTGACTCAGTGGTCAAGAGCCCCTGGGTTCAATACTTAATACCCCCCAAAAAAATTTAACACTTTATTATTATTATTATTTTTTTTTTTAGACCGGAGGGTCTCACTATGCTGTTCAGACTGGTCTTGAACTAAATCTCAAGTGACCCTCTGGTAGCTGGAATAACAGGTGTGCAACGATGAGGCCCAGAAGATTAACAAAACTTTAAAGATTTCAAAATGATGAACTTGACCATCTGACTGTGCCACTTCCTTGGTTATGTGACCTCGGGAAGTTACTCTCCCTCTCTGAGTTGCCTTGCTTTAGAAACCAGGCCAAAAGGGCATATTTCCATAGGGTTGTTGCAAGGATTAGAGAAATGTCACTGTGCTATGTCTGTAACAGGACTCAGCAAACTACTGTCCTAACAGGAATGGGCCACCTTACTATTCCACTCGGCTCTGTGAGAGTTTGTGTGTCACTGGTTTCTTGGGGCCAAGGAAAGAGCCCTGCCAAGAGGCCTGTGTTCTAAGGAGTCCTGGCTTCCAGGGGTCACAGGGTAAGAGCTCTGTACTGGGAAGCAGGGGTCCAGATTCTGGTTTGGACTCTGCCACCAACTAGCCACGTGAGACCATGGGCAACTCTCTTATCTCTGGGCCTGTTTCCTCACCTGTCATTATAAGAACAGTGCATTATGGTCTCAAGGTTCTCCCACTAGATCCACTCACCTTGGACAAGTCCACTTGGTATTTACGGCCCAGCTCATCTAAGGATAGCTTGTGATCATCCTGGGAAGAAAGGGAAGTGGAGTTACTTTGAGGAAGGAGGCTGAGGGAACTCGGGGCACAGGAGTAAGGTGAGGAGCGAGGGAGAGGGCCCGGAGCTTCTCTCTGGGTGCACGGGGCTATGGGGCAGTTCTCCCAGCCCAGGGCCTTCTCTGTGACCCTGCTGGCTGGGCCGTGGGCCTCACCATGGCCACCTCCTTCTTCAGTTCATCCAACTCCTTTTCTTTCTGTTTCTTCTTGCCGCCCCCATTCTCTGCAGTGGTGGCGGCAGGGGAGTACTCCCGGCCATCCTGCAGGAGGAAGGAGAGCACAGGGGGTCAGTGAATGTCTTTGCCCAACACCATAGTTACTGTATTTAGACAAGAGGAGAGATGGTCAGGGATTTGGAAGAGCAAATCTTGGGGCAGAAAAGGGGAGAAAAAGTTTGGTGGTAGAATGGTGCCGGTGGAAAGGGCAGAACCGATGAACTGAGACCAGTCTGTGATTGGACGGCCAGCATGTGCCCAGGAAATGAGAACACAGGGGTGGTGGGAGCACCGTCCATCCTGCTGGCCAGGATTTACTGGTGGGGTTAGGCAAGAGAACCAGGCCTGCCTGAGACTGGGAAAGGGACTTCTCAGGTCTCAGTGTCCCAAAGCACAATTGGGTTAAGTGGGAATTTGGTTCCACTTGTCCCAAAATATAAGAGATGGCATTTGAGAGTAAATCGAAAACTCAGATTCATGTAACTCTTAAACCTAGCCACTTCCTGGGTCATCTGTGAGATTGGATGGACGTTTTAACTACAGACTCATGAAGCCCCTATTTCCTTCTTTCTCTTCAGGGTCATTTCCAGGCCTCCAGGGTCTCACAGGAAACTTCTGGGGAGAGTGGGGGGTCCAAGAGCAGGCCATTTTAGAGGATAGGTTAGGGGGTGCTGGGTGGGGCCTGGCATTTGTGGCTAGTGCCCAAGAATAGTGGGTGGTAGAGCACTCCTGGGTTCAATCTCTAGCTCTGCAATTAATTAATTAATTAATTAGAGGCTGACTTGGGGAGTCATTTTGTTTGGGTTCACAGTTAAATTGAGTAGAAAGTCAAGGACGTTCTCACACATTCCCTGTCCCCCAGTTGTATAGCCTCCCCCACAATTGCCATCCAGCACCAAAGGGCACTTTTTTTTTTTTTTTAGTTGTTGATGGACCTTTTATTTTATTTCTTTATTTATATGTGGTTCTGGGAATCGAACCCAGTGCCTCACAAGTACAAGGCAAGCACTCTACCGCTGAGCTACAACTCCAGTCCCCAAAGGGCACATTTTTAATCAAACAATGTCCACAACTTACATGAGAGTGCATTCTTGGGGGGGGTATACATTCTATGAGTTTGAATGCATGTATATTCATACGTATCCACCATTGTGATGTAACAGGGAATTGGTTCACTGTCCTACATCCTACATCCTCTGTGCTCCAGAATAATGCATTTGATGTATGGGGGTGGGTACCAGGGATGGAACCCAGGGTCACTTAACCACTGAGCCATATCCCCAGGCCTTTTTAATATTTGAGACAGGGTCTCTCTAAATTGTTTTAGTGTCTCACTAAGTTGCTGAGGCTGGCTTTGAACTTGCGATCCTCCTGCCTCAGCCTCCCAAGCTGCTGGGATTACAGGTGTGCATCACCATGCCCAGCAGAATGATGCAACTTTTAACCATCAAAGAATAGTTAGGAGCAGTCCCAGGAATATGGCGGCTGCCCTGATCATAAGAGGTCACAAAACTAGCCCTTTGAGAAGCAGAAGTCTGGCCACAGGAGCAAGGTCACCTGCAGGAGGTACAGTGCAAGATGGATACCTGTTCCCAAGATGCGGTGACCTAAAAGCATATGAGCTCTTGGTGGCTGTGTTGCTCAGAAGTGATCCTCTCAGAAAAAGTGACCAATAAATTATGCATTTGTCTTCATCTGAAACATCTTTGAATCCAATCCATTTCTAGCCTTCTAAGGGATGATCATATCAAGGAGACAGAAGTAGCTCAACAGAAGTGGGGAAGGACTTGGGGCTAGTTCTACTTCTCTTTTTCCTAGGTGACTTAAGAAGGTTCATTTTGGGGTGGGGAGTGGCACTGGGAGTTGAACCCAGGAGTGATCTCACCCTTTTTATTTTTTGAGACAGGATCTCACTAAATTGCTGGCCTTAGACTTGCAATCCTCCTGCCTCAGCCTCCTGAGTAGCTGGGATTACAGGTGTGTGCCACCGCCCCAGGTCAGAGGGTTCATTTAATTGGATGAATTAAAAATTTTTTGAATTTACTAACTCTGTCTTTGATGAGACAGGGTTGATAAAGGATGGAAACCGGGGCTGGGGCCGTAGCTCAGTGGTAGAGCACTTGCCTTCCACGTGCAAGGCACTGGATTCGAGTCTCAGCACCACATACAAATAAATAAAAAGATACTGTGTCTAGCTACAACCTAAACAAATTTTTTAAAAAAAGGATGAAAATCAATCAAGGGACCAGAGGCAAGAAAGCAAGAAATCAGACCAGAGAATAGACAACCCCACACCCTGGAGCTTCCAGGATGGGAACAGAGCCTGGGCATGCGTCAAGGGTGGGCTGGGGTTGGGAGCCAAGGAGCAAAGACCAGAGAAATTTTAGTACATTCAGACATGAAATAAAGTAATACAAATTAGAATCAAATACATGCTTCCTAAGTCGCTCCATGCAGGGCGTCTTTTCCCTAAGCTCCCACCCCATTCTCCCACAGACCCAGAGCTTGGGACATCCCCCTCCTCCTGCCCTGGCAAAGATCTCAGGCTCCACAGCCAGGAGCCTGCGGAGATTTGGGGCCAGAGGCTACCCAGGCAAAAAAGAAAGAGGAAGCAAGGACCCCCCCCCCTTCTTCCCTCTCCTCCTCCCTCCCCCAACCACAAGTCCCTCTCTCTGGGTCTTGAATGCTGAAGGAGAACAGAGAGTTCTTTTTGAGAAAGCCAGAGGCTGGGACAGAGTGGGGGCAGCTGGAAATCAGCCAGCTCTCCCCACCCCCTCCAGCCTCCATGGCAGCTGGAGCAGGCTGGGCTCCCTCCCACCAGTGTCGTCCCTTCTCCTAACTCCTACACCGTCCTTCAGGGCCACCCGGTGATGGACTGTGTTAGGCCTTGCTCTGCAGTGGAGAGGCAGGGAAAGGACAGAAACCCGAGAACAGGGTGTGGGTAGTGGGTGCTTTCCCTCTTTGGGGGTCTCCTTAAGTAGGATTCTGAGCTCTAGGGCCGAAGTCCTCCCACTTCACACCCAGCCTTTGATGCCAAAGAGACCAGGTCTTCTTCTAACTCATCTTTCTGTTGCTTTACCCGTAACTACTGGGGGTGACGGTTCAGGGGGCTGCAGGAGTCCCAGGAGAGAAGAACAGACCGGAGAAGTCAAAATCAAATAGCTTCCCCGGCAGGACTCTGAGCGAGGGGGGGATGACACTGTCTAATGCAGCACAGGGTAGGGGGGTAGCTTCCTTCTTTCTACTTGAGGTTTGCCTGACTCCATCAGCCCTGGCCTCTCTTCAAAGGCTCTGCACCTCATCTGGGGACTCCCTTTCCATAGGGAACTAGAGATGTCAAGGTTTAGCTGAAGATCCCAGGGTTGTGACCTCTTCCTCCATGAAACCCTCACCCCACCTCACCTCAGCTCCCAAGGGCGGGTTTACAGACCCACACCTGCTCCAGCCCACAGCAACGTCTATGCGCCCAAGGCTTAAAAGTTTGCACATTTCATCCGCTGAGACACAAGTACAGGTGCTCATCCTGAATATCTGCAGCACTTCAGCCTAAGAGGAACATGTGACCGTGGACACATGCACGTGCACGCACACATACGCATGCACGTACACACACACAGGCACGCACACAGCGCACATTCATGCACTGGTTCTATTTCCAGCTCCCACACAGCTCAGGAACCCTGGTGTCAGGCTCAGAGTTTTCCCAGAAGCTCAACTCAGTGCAATAACACGTCCTTGCCTTCCTCTGCCAGGGACCCAGAAACTGGCCCACAGCTCCCCACAGGCTCCGTCTTCCTCATACCCTCCCACGGCTCTCCGTGCCCTTTCCCTCTGTGCCCTCTTTTGCCAGCGGTCCACAAAAGGAAAGCAGCCAGGCACAGTATGTAAAGGCACTGGGTCACTTTCCTCCATATGGGAATTTCATTTCCAAGAAATTCGAAGCCCTGTCCCTGCCTGCCCCACATGGTGTTAATCTTCCCCTTGGCAGAGCCATAGCAGGAGTGGACTGGAACTGGGGCCGGAGGGGCACAGATCTCACCAGCCTTTGGGAAAATCCTCAAAGCCCATGGCCTGGAGGGGAGGACAGTGCTGCAGGGGACATCCAGAGGAGTGCAGCGTGGGGACTGGGGACACATCATTCCTCCTCCTCACACCCCTCCCAGTTGTCCCTGGCACACAAGGCCCCTGGAGCTGGTGCTGGGAACTGCTTGGTGACTATGGGAGAGCGGGATGCTCCACTGCTCCTCTCCAACCTCAGAGGGGACCCCCGCAGTCTCCGGCTGGAACTCCCAGAGGAGTGGATGTTTTCAGAGGGAAGCAGAGGCAGGGAGATCTAACAGTGTCCGCTTCAGGCCCCCAAATGGGGTGAGAGAGGGAGACTGTCCTGAGGAAGACATGCACAGAAATGTGGGGTCGGGGTGCAGGGAGAGCTGGAGGGGTGCATGGTGGCCTCCATGGCCAGTCCTGGGAGGGAAGGGAGGGACAGAGGCAGGTTGAGAAGAGGCATTTAGGCCCCTGACTGTCAGTGTCTGGGATCTGTCCGTGTGTGTGTGTGGCTGGAGACTCAGTTCCAAGTTCAAACTATCGCACTTGGTCAGCTTCTCGCCCCCTCCCTCCCACTCCTATTTCTCCTTCTTTCTCGGTTGCCTCCCTCACCCTCTAGAGAGTGGCCCCTGCTCTTTTGGGGATACTCACCCCACGACCCATCTTGGGGCAGAGTGGCTGAGGGGACCTAGGCTGGAGAGGTCACCAGGAAGATCCCAAGCCCACACCACCCGTCTGGGGCGGCCGGAGACCCTGGCAGACAGACAGAGACAGCCGCAGCAACAGGGTAGCTTTAAATAGGTCCCTCTCCCCCTCGCCCCCGCCTTCCCCTCCTCGAAAAAGAAACGTTTGTTGAAACAGGATCCCTGAGGACTCCTCCCCTCCCGCCCCTTTAGCAACTGGTCTGTTGATGGTCCGTTTTGTCCCCGCTGTGGAGTGCCCCCCTGGCTCCCCTCAAACCCCCACCCCCACCCTGGCCTGCGGCAGCACCAGGGAGGGAGGGGAAGGGAGGGAGCGGGGTGGGGGAATGTGCCCCTCTGGGAGCACTGAGCTCCGGGTGCCAGGATGCCAGAGGCCATGTGGTGGCCTAACCCTTCCTACTTTTCCAGGTGAGAAAACTGAGGCTTAGAGGAACTGAACAATTTGAGCTGAGAGTAAAGAACCAGAACTCAGGTCTCCCGAGTACACATCCATCCGTCCAGAAAGGGAAGCAGAGACTCTGTCCTCCACTGTAGAGGCCGCGAGGATATTGAAGCCCAGATAAAGCAAGAATTGGAACCCGAGGATGGCCCTTGCATTTGAGGCATCTGTGGGGGGGCGGGCTTGTGGAAGTCAAAGGAAAGCGGGAAGACAGGAATGGAGGGGAGAGGGTCTCCCTGAGCCCCAGACTTGCCGCTCTGAATCCCAAGTTTTCCAAGGTAATCAAGCCTCTGGGGTCAAGAGGCAGGTGAGGAGGAGCAGGCAAGGGATATGGGACCCGAGGGGCTGCCTTCCTGGAAATGGCATCCAAAAGTAGCAGGTATTTGATGACATATCTGCATTTTGCTTATGGAATGGACATGACTTTTTTTTTTCTAAATGTCTTTATTTGTGTTTATTTATTTATTTATTTTTTATGTGGTGCTGAGGACTAACCCAGGGCCTCACCATGAGGGGCAAGCACTCTACCACTGAGCTACGACTCCAGCCCCTGGACATGACTCTTCTTTCATAGCTGTTGAAGAGGTTGGCAAGTCAGCTGCGTCCTTCCCTCAAGAGGTGAAGGAAGGCAAATCCGCAGCATGCAGGATGGAAGTCAGACAGAAAGAGGCCTCCTGCAGTGAAGTATTGGTCAGTTTCTGAAGGAAGCCTTGGGGCGGATAGAGGGCCTCATCTTGGGCTGAGAGTGTTGTCTTTAACCTTATTCCAGATGGAAATGGGTAGAAGAGATGACCAAGGACGGGGCCAGCTAGTCCGGGGGGATCGTTGCTACTCACTTGAGGAAAGAGTCACAGAATGGGGAGCAAAGAGAAGGAGAAAACAGAAGGGGCAGAGAAGAAAAGTGTCCTGCCTCTGCTTTCTCCTAGGAGCAAAGGACACCTGCTGGAGTATCCCCCCTTTCTCTGGACACAGGGGTGGAATGAAGGGAAGCCAGCAGAACAGGGGCAGTTCTGGAAGCTCTGAAGAAAGGAGGAGGAGGACCGGAGGGAGGGGATGGGGCTTTGGCTCAGAGGCCTAAGGTACCCGCTGGCTGGGCTGGGTCCCTCTCTGGCTCCGGAGGGAACTCCCTGCAGAGGGATTATCGACTTCTCCCTCTGCAAATCCACTCTCAGGGCCCAGGGCTCACATCTGAATTCCCTAAATAACTGACCCCCTCTGAGGCCTGCAGCGGAGATTTTCCATTACAGGGACCCGGAAGGTCACATCCCATTTGCGACCTGTTTCCTCCTCCAGGGTTCCTGCAGGAGGGTGGGTAGAGTGAGCAGATAGTCCCTCTCCAGACCTTGAAATTGGGTCTGGAGCATGATGGATGCAGCTGAAGACTGTAGCTGCAAGTTCTGTGGTTAGACACCAGGAGAGGCTGCCTCTGTCACTAGAAGAATGGCCCAAAGGCAGTGGAGCATTCAGTGCAGGGCAGACTTGCCCTGGGGCCGGGTGCGCATGAGATGATAACTTTGGGTTTTAGGAGGCACCTGCGCCTTGGGTTCCTGGCTTAGAATTCCTGGGTTATCTTTGGCCCAGGGGGGACAAAAGAGAAAACTTGAGTTCCCGAACCTGAATGTGGCTTGGACTCCAGCCATTGGTATTCCACCCCTCTCATCCCTGCTGGCACCTCCAAGTGCTGCCCAGTCCTTCCCAAGCCCTGGCTCTGGTCCCTGGAGCCAGGCTCAATACCGGAAAGGGCTGGCTCTTCCTCTGCCCGTACAGCCTGCTGGGCTTCTTGCCATGCCCTGCCATGCCCTCAAGGTTACTGCTGCTCGAAAACTTGAGGACCCAACAAGTGAGAGGTGGACAGGGCACCCCAGGCTCACTTTTCGCCCAGGCCTCACTGACAACCCCCTGCCCACGAGAGCTGAGGCTCTGGGAGGTCATCTGCTTGCCCACCATGAACCCCATGCCAGGACACAAGCTGCCGCAGATACCCGGTGCTTTGATCTAGTGCCTGGGTCAGGCTGCTGCTTCCTGTGAACCCAGACAGAGGTGCCCATTTGGATCAAGGCCCTGTTGTTGAGAGGAGCAAAGGAAGGAGACAAAAAGACTCTAAGGCAGGATGTGGGAAGCCAGGATGACCACACTAGAGAGAAAGTCACAGATCAGAAAGATTGGAAAGGGGTCCGCATGGAGCAGTATGGAGAATAGCTTGGTTGATAGAGGGAGGTTTGGGAAGTAGGGACGTGTGCATGTCAGAAAGCTGGGACAGTAATGGGGAGTCAGAGAGGCAGAGGAATGCATTTGGCTGTGTCTGTGCTAGTTAATGAGTGAGGGACACAAGAATCCTGTCTGTGGGTACGTCCAAAGCCCAAAGAAAAGGGCAGTACTCTCTTGGATGAGTGATCAATCAATTACAGATCAGCTATCTGTGTATGAGTGTGTGGCCTGCCACGTGTGACTGGGCGTGCATGCCTGTGTGTGGGCCAGCGAGGAACTCGGTGCAGCCGGGCGTGGGCGTACGTGAGCGTCCATGGGAGAATGAGTCTGTGCACGGGGGAGGGGTGGGCGCTGCTCAGCTGCAGATGGGCTGCAAGGTCTCCAAGAAACAGTTCTGTTTCCTAAGTGACTGGCCTCCTGGGGCTTCCAGCCCAGACTTGAAGGTTGTTTCAAGATCATGAAAGGAGAGTGGGAGGGATGGAGGGAGGGAAGGAAGCCCGGGAGGCTCCGTCACCCCCACAGTCCCCCCTCCCACCCTCACCCCGCTCCTCTGCCCCAGTCCTGGGTTGAGCCAGCACTACTCCTGGGCGCTGCTACCTCTGCGCCAGGCTGCTGGGCACCCTCTCCCCCTCCCCCTCCACCCTCCAACCTTTCCTTTCCCTTTCTTCTTTAAGGGCTGTCATCTTGCCACTGTGACCAGGCTTCTGGGCCCTGTGAGGACATAGTGGGGCCTTCTGCTTCCAAGAGGAGGCCATCTTTAGGGGATGGGTTAGGTGGGAATCTGGGAAGGCCAGGGGAGGCCTTGATTAATGTCCAAGAGAGATGCCTTCTCGTCCCCCCTTCCTCCCTGTCCTCTGCCCTCCCATGCCCTCAGACTGTCGAGAACTCTTGGTGGGCTCAGAGCCACAGAGTAGCTGTCTTAGCCCGTTGCTGCCTCAGTTTCCCCACTGGCCCACCAGGATGGCATCGGATTTTCTGTCTGTCTCTTCCTTTACGACTGTCCCTGTTTTCTTCCTGGTCCTTGATGTTTTAGTCCATCAAACTAGATTCTAGAATATCTCTTCCTTTGTCTCTCCTTAGGTCTGTCATTTTTCCTATGTCTCTCCTTAGGTCTGTCAGATGATTTTTATTGTCTTTTTTAAATGGTGAAAGCCATATTACCTAGAATTTAGAAAAGAGGAGGAAAAGCCAGATGTGGTTGTGCACACCTGCAATCCCATCAGCTCTGGGGACTTGGGCAGGAGGATCGCAAGTTGGAGGCCAGCCTCAGCAACTTCGTGAAACACAGGCTCAAAATAAAAAGGGCTGCATATGTAGCTAAGTGGCAGAGCATCCCTAGGTTCAGTCCTTGGAGGTAGGGTGACCTGGGAACGAAAACAGAAGGGGAAAAAAAGCACTCAGGAGTATTTTCCTCAATCTCTCTATTTCTGCTCCTTTCCTTACTCCTTTCTGGGTTTGGAGAGCTCCATGTTGTGTTCCCACCTAGACACGCAGCTGGAAATGCAAGGGAGAAAAAGGAAAGAGTCTTTGGTATCAACCTCTCTCCCCAGGCATGAAGGTACAAGGTTGCTCTGCGTTTCTGTTTCCCACCTGGCCCTCTATAGGGTTCCCCCCATGATCTTTTACAGTCAGGTCAGCTGAGGTTGGTCCCAGCGAGGCCACAAGTCACCTGAGCAAGCTTGGACAAGAGGCTGCTCGACTCTGGCTTTGGTGTCTTCATCTGAGTGACAAGGAGCAGCACTGGGAAACCTTGAAGGTCCTCTTCCAGCACTGATGATGCCCGACTTCCTGTTCTCGGCTGCCGTCTCCTCAGCTCAGGGAGCAGCAAAGTTACCTGCGTGAGAACCGCTACCTGGAGACCTGGCTGGGAAGGGGACCAGGGCGCAGTGCTCTTGCCTTGTTACTAGCATGTGCCCCTCGTTTGTTTAGTGTGGCCCACAGTAACAAGCCTTGTCCCTTTAACTCTGGGCATAGAATCCAAGAAAGACTTAGGACTTGAGCTAACACTGCCTTGGTCTCTTACAGGGAGATACCATGACAGGGGGGACTGGGTCTGGGGAGAAGGGCTCTTGGCTGGTATCCACTGAGAAAATACCAAATAAGAGGATGTTAGGGCACAGGAGGAGGACGGGGGGGGGGCAGTTAATTGGGTCTTGCTGAGTATGGGGGGCAAGGGTCACAGCTGGGCCCTGCAGGGTTCCTGTTTGCCTTTGATTCCATCTGGGCAGGGAGGGAACTGGCCCCTAAGCCCCTGAGGAAGGTTTGCTTTGGCCAGAGATCTGACCCAGGCCCTGGCCCGGAGCACCCCGCCTCCTTGCTCCCCCTATCAAGAGGCAGCCTGGCTTGGTCCCCAGCCTCCTCTTTCCTCCCTTACCAGCCCCTTCCACTTAGCCCAGGATGTAGCTCTGTTTATCTGCCTGTTCCCTTTGGCCTCTGGACACCCAACTAGGACAGGATGCCCTGCAAACATCTGGCACGCGAAGACATGGCCCTCCTCCCACAGAATGGACTCTTCCTTGAACTCCAGGGAGCTTGGCCTCCTCGGCACCTCAGTTTCTCTGAAAGTCCAGGATCCTTCTGCTCTAGTGCTCCTGTCTGGAAGTTCCCATCACTTCCCGGGTGTGTGTGTATGTGTGTGTGTGTGTGTGTGTGTGTGTGTGTGTGTGTGTGTCTTCGTCGACAGTACATTCTCTTTCTGACAGCTAATGCATCATTCAGACATTCAGTCTATGTGCTGAGCACTTACTGTATACCATGTTCTATGTAAGTATTTGAGAGACAATTACAACCCAGGCAAGCAAGGTTCCCACTCTCATGGCTCTTTTGTTCATAATCCCATGCCATTGGGTCACCACATCCCTCCACCCCATCCCTGAGCCTGTCTTCTCAGGGTCAGCTCCTAGCTCTTGAGGACTCCCTTTCCCCAGTTCCTTAAGCTTGACAGGCCTTCAAGGCCTATGATATGGCCCCAGTATCCTCTTCCAGTATCTCCGTGTTTCTCCTCTGGGCTCTGGGTACTGTAGTGTCCTGGTCAACTAACCATTAGCTAGAGATCTTGGATCCAAGGGAGCACTGAAGGTACAAGGCCGCTCCATGTCTCTGTTTCCCACCTGCCCCTCTCTAGGGTCCCCACCATGATCAGATACAGCTGAGGTTGGTCCTCGCCTGACCCAGGTTGGTCCTGAGCAAAGATCCAGCCCTGGCACGTTGGAAGTCACTCTGGACTGGAGGGACAGTGGGCAGAGGCTTTTGATGAGGACTTGTTCCACCACAAACATACCTTGTATGCTTGACTGAATCCTTTACCTCACATTAATTCAGTAAGGTAGTTGGACTAGCTAAGAATTCTCATCTGTAGCAGCATCTTCGTGCCCCATGCCTGGGTCTCACCCCTAGGGATCCTATTTCAATTTGTCTGAGGTAGGGCCCAGGCCTCAGCAATTTTCAAAGGTTTCCCAGATGATTCAATGGGCAGGCAGGGTTGAGAGTCACTGAGCCTGATTGCCACCGAGATATCTAGCTCATCACAGCTAATGGTTAGTTGACCAGGACACTACGTGCTTGTCCCCCACCTCCCCCGGTTGAAACCTTAACCCCTAATGTGAGAGTGTCAGGAGGTGGGGCCTTTGACAGGTAATTAGATGATGAGAGTGCAGCCCCCATGATGGGTTTAGGCCCTTAAAAGAAGAGGGACAGAAGACAGCTTGCCTCCTTTCTACTCTCTGCCATGTGGTGGCAGAGAGGGGGGCCATCTGTAAACCAGGAAGTGATCCCTCCCTCACTAGATATGGGATTTGCTGGCACCTTGGTCTTAGATTTCCCAGCCTCCAGAAGGGAGGGAGACAGCATGCATTGCTTAATTTGGTCCTCATAAAAACAGATGGGAAGCGGAGACACACAAATTCTAAGTAGTTCTAAGGGGGACTGGGATTCAAACCTAGTCAGTTTGATTCCAGAGTCTGAACACTGAATCTTCATGCTGTGAAGAGAAGGATCCACTCTGGGTCCTTGTCTCCAGGAGCACATGAGCAGAAATCCCTGACTTCAAAGATGACAGGAGGAGTGTACCAGAAATTAGAGGAGAGGGAAGAGGACCAACCCCCAGGAGCCGTGAGCCAAGGCCCTGCCAGGTGCTGGCTGCACACTGTTTTTAATCCACAGGAAGATGGCGAGAAGGAGAAGATGGCTCTCAGTTGGAAGATTCAGGAAAGTCTTCGTGGAGGAGGTGACATTCTAGTTTGGCCATGACAGAGATCTGGCTCAGAGAGAAAGAGGAGAGGGAACAGCCTGACCACAGGCAGACGGCGCAGTACCCAGAGCCCAAAGGAGAAACATGGAGATACTGGAAGAGGATGTTGGAGCCAAATCATGGGCCCTGAACGCCTGTCATTTTAAACACTTGTGATTCCTAAAAGGCTCTGATGATAAGAGTCACCTGGATGCATGTTAAAAATATAAAACAGCAGGCACGTCTCTCAGAGATTCTGATTCATGAGGGTGGAGGTGGGCAGTGGGAGTCTATATTTTTACCATCAAGCAAGTTTGAGAAACATCGCTATAAACAATATGGAACCATTTAAAGTTTCTGAGCAGGGGCGTAATCTCATTCAAACTGTAGCCCAGGAAGGCTCATTTGATTGCTCTGTGTGTGTGTGTGTGTGTGTGTGTGTGTGTGTGTGTGTACACGGGTGTGTGGGGGGCTGAAAGGGTGGGACAGGTGGGGACTATAGATGGTAAAGCTCTGGAGGTCAAGATGGGACGATGACAGAGAGGAGACAGGGGTGAATGGGAAGGATCTTCAAGGAGACAGGATTTTAGGATTTGGTAGCTGATTGGATATGAGGGTAAAGGAGGAAGGAGTTGGGGGTCGGGGAGTTGGGGATGTAAAGTCAACTCAAACAAGGTAGGGAAGAGAGGAGGTCACTCAGGAGAGAAGCCACAAGTTGTGTTTCGGGTTGTTAAGTTTGAGGTAGCGCTGGCAGGTAGAGAAGGTGACCAGTGAGTAATGGAAATGGAGACTAGAGCTTGGGAGAGAGCAGTGGCCACGGAAGTCACCTCCACAGAGGTGACCACTCAACAGGAGGAGATTTGCCAAGGTTGAGGAGCCAGAGGACAACAGGTCAAAGGTCTTGAAGAGAACTCTGGGCAACACCTAGGGTAGAACAGAAGGTCTGGGATATGGAGGGGCAGAGAGATGGGAGAACTAGATGAAGCCATGGGAACTGACAGCTGAGAGAGGAAAAGGATTAAGGGGCAAAAAGAAACCCTATCAGTTTCAGATTTCAGATGCTAAGGAGAAATGAAAGTTGGTCACTTTTTTGACCTTTGAAAGAAAACATTTCCATGGTGGGTCAAATTTAGAAATCAAATTGTGAAGAGTTGAGGAGGGATTGGTGGGAAGCAGAGGGGTATAGGTTATCCCCTCCCCAGGGGATCACAGGAAATGGAAAGACCCATTTAGAAGGGTCTCCTCTCCTGGTCACGGATCCCACTCTACCTCTGAGCCCCAGCTTTTTTCATCATTTCTCTCAACAGCAATCCTCAGAAAATGATGGACTCAGCACTATGATAATTCTCATTTTAAATATGATGAAAACTTAGGTGAAACTAAGGCTAGAGAAAGCCAGTAATGGGATCCAGGACACAGAGCTGAAACCCAGCTCTGTGCAATGTTTTGCTGCTTCGTTCTGAAGTCCCAGCTCCACAGATTTTTTAAAAACTTAATTGGGTACAAAGAGACGTTATTTCTTGCACCTAAATTCTGGATGGGTAACATGCCTTATCCCCTAACTTTTAGATTTGTTCTGTCTTTTCCCCTTTCCCCAGGAATACTTTGGAACTGGGGTCCTCCTTGCCAGTTTGCAGCACTTGAGAGGTCAGTCCTGCTATCCTGGATTCCCTATCACCTTGGGCTTGCAGCTGACTGGACCTCCACCCTCTTGTTACCCACTTCCCCCACTAGCTCTTTCTTCCTGATTTGAATTAGGCAAGATGAAGCTTTGTCACATGGCTAAGAACTTGTGCTGTGGAGTTAGAAGTGCCTAGAAAAGAAATCTTAGGCCGGCCACTAATTGGACATTTGTTTGTTTTTAGCTTTTCTGAGCTTCAATTTCTTTGCTAGCTCTAACTCATCCACTTGTGTTGAGAACTGCAACGCTTGATGAATGTTAGCCATTATTTTCTGCCCTCTATTTCCAATGTCGTGGCCTTTGGACTGCAATTTCTTTTTCAGCTGGATCCGATCTCCCGCACCTTCCCTCCCCAGAGGACAGAGCCCAGCCCTTCCTCGGCTGCCCAGGAAGCTGGCCTGGGTTATTTCTTGAGGGATGGAGAGTTTGGGTTCTGAAAGAAGAGAAAGGAGAAACTTTCAGCTGCGGGTAGAAGTGGCCAGTGAAGATGGGCTTGGGAAAGAGCGGTGCCCACTGTGGAGGCCATATGGCCACCAAAGAGAAAAGGCCCAGATTCCCTCTCATGTCCCCCACTCCCTGCTCATTCCCTGGCTCAGCCAGCCATTCTGTAAATGTCTGGGGAGATTCTAGTCCTTGCCAGGCAACTGGGCTAGGCATGGGGACAGAGCAGAAGAGAGTTAACCGTGGCCTTGAGAAGCCAAGACGGAGAGGCAGACAGAAACAAGCCTCCTTAGTTACAACTCAGAGTGGGAGATGCAAGGGCCAAGGACAGGGTGCTGTGAGGTGGGGGGAAGTGAGCAAGGGGACAGTCACTCAGCATCAGGACGCTGGGATCACACTCGCTCCCATGGCCCGCTCATTCACCCCCACTGTTCCATCTGTTTCTTTGTTTTGCAATCTTTATTTCTGGCTTTGTTTTCCATTTACTTTTCTAATAGAGAGGCTTTGGAAAAATTCCACACTTGTTTCAGTTGGACGAGGCAAAAAGGGAATTGTCCACTCTTCAGCCAGAATAGCCTAGGGGTGCCGGGTTCCTGCAGGGTCCAGGTGGACAAGTGGAGGAAGCAAGAGCTGGCCACAGGGAGGCCAGGAAAGAGCCTGCAGCCCCCAGGGAGGCTGAAAACACAGGAGGAACTGAACTTAGCTGAGAAGTCTGGGGTGACCATGTCCCCCATCTTCCCAGAGCTCTCCTCACACCCCACTGCCTTCTGTTCTGATTGGAGGGGAGAGTGGAGCCCCTCCTCCTCAGAGCATCCCGGGAAGCTGGGTTCCATTGCTCTTTCCCCACCTGGTGAGTTTGAAAGGCCTCAGAGTTGGAAGTGAGTCTTCAACATTATCCAAGGTGGAGGGCTAGGTGTGTGTGTGCATAAAATCTTCCCTAGTCTTTCTCCCTCAAATCCACCACATGACCCAACTCTCATTGTGTCCTGGGTCTCTGACACTGTTCATTGATTCATTAATTCAACAAAACATTTATTGAACACTCACTATGTGCTAGAAATTGGAGCACATTAGTGGGAAGAGATAGTTATTTCAAAAGGTCGTATAGACACCAGGAGAGAGAGAGAGAGAGAGAGAGAGAGAGAACGCACATGAGCATATGTGAACATATAAATAACTGTGTGCAGGTTAGGGAAGCAGGAGGAAGAATGTTCAGAAAACTTAAGTTTGGGAGTCAGTTTGCATTTGCATCTAGGTGCTTAACCATTTGGGGGTCAGGGTACTGGGGATTAAACCTAGGGGTGCTCTCCTATTGAGCCACATCCTGAGCCCCTTTGTATTCTTTATTTTGAGACAAGGTCTAGCTAAATTGCCAAGACTCTTCTGGAACTTGCCATCGTCCTGCCTCAGCCTCCTGAGTTACTGGATTACAGACATGTGCCACTGTGCCTGCCTGGGTGCTGCCATTCACTCCCTGTATGAACTTAAGGTGAATTATGAAACTTGTCTGTGCCTATTTCCCATCTGTAAATTAGCGATAACCACCTGGGGTTGTTCTTACCACCTGGGTTTTATGTGAAGACTAAATGAGTAAATGTATGCAGAATGTGGGTGACAGTGTCCAATACAAAGCGGCCTTTCAGTAAGTGTTAGTTATTATCACTTCCTTCTTTCTTCACTCAGAGCTGTGTCTAGGCAAACCTATGAATGACCTATTCTCCAAATCTGCCTCTTGCTTAACCTCGGTATGACTCAAGGGGCAGTCACCTGGTGCTAGCCACCTGTCGCCCCCTGAGGCTCATCTACAATACTTACCCTTAGACTTTTGTCTAACCAAACTGTTGCCATCTGCCACCCTCAACTTGCCCACCCCCTCCCAGCTGCTCAGGTTGGGGAAGAAGCCCCCTGCTCCCTCCAGACACTTCTGCTCCAGCCGTTCCCTCTTGGCTGGCTGGGAACAGAGGACAAGAATGGGGAAGGAGCCCAGGCACCCACCCCATGGGCCTGGGGAAACAAAAGAACTTGTCAGGGGAGGGAGGTCCGAGGGGATTCCAGCCCAGAGGGATCCATGCATGGCATTCCAGAGTAGGTGGCAGCTGGCACTAGACTTGGGTGCAGAAATGGCAGGGTCCTCTCCAGGGTCAGGGCTAGGTTGTGCCAAGGCACCAGTGGCATTGTGACTCCCCTATTCTTGAACAACTGTGCCACCCCCTTGGCATAGGCCTTGAGAACTGGGGCAGGAGTGTGGGCTCAGCGAGGGTAAGGGGAGGGTTTAGAGAACACACACACACACACACACACACAGGGTCCACCATGAGGTGCAGATCTTGGTTCTGGGGAGGAAAGGGGAAGAAGGTGTGGTGCAGATGTGTGTATGGGTGGGGGTGGAGGTGGGGGAGATGACTTTGTGGTTCCATGACTATGTTGGGGGGGGCAGTGTCTGTGTGTTTATCTCTGCCCTGGTTTGTTGTCCAGGTGAGTGTAGGTCTTTGCTTTACCTCTGACCCTTTGCTTGAGCCTCTCAGCAATTCGGCAGTGAGAATTTTCTCTTTGGGAGGGTGGGAAAATCCAGTTTCTCAGTGCAGTATGGGTCAAAGATTTATAAACACACACAAACAGGACATTCTTGTGTGGGATCCTCAGCTCCCCAAGAAGCTGGGTTTGTACTCATTTGAAGGAGAGAGCTGAGTATTCCTAGTGTGTCTGCATCATTTCCATATGTGTTAGTGGCTGTTATGTTTGTCATTTTGTCTCCACAGTAATATCTGTGTCCATAGCAAGTACTTATGAATGCTGGGCTCAGATTTAAATTTGTCTTTAGTGATGTTTGCCTTTAAGAAACAATGTAACAGGGGTTAAAAAAAATCCTGGGTTCAAATCCAAGTTTGGACAGTAACTAATCCATTAACTTTGGACAAGTTCCTTAGCTTCTGTACGTCTCAGTTTTCTCACGGGGATAATAATAATAATAGCACTAACCTTACAAGATTCTGTTGAGGATTCAATGAGATCATGTTACACACCTGGCACAGGTCAGGATATTTTTAACAGTCCAGTCTTTGGGTGTGTTCCTCTTTGAAGGACATGACTCCTCTGTTGTGACTGCAGTATGTGACATCTCAGCCAGATTATAAACCGTTTTAGGGGAGAACATGGGTTTTAATGGTTGTTAATAATACTCATGAGAACTCAGTACCAACTTTGTACTATGTAGTTTGGAGGTGAAATGAATTAAATTAACATGTAAAACAAGACTGGTGTTTGACATATGCCCACATCTGGTAGTGGGGGGGAGGATGGGGGATGGGAAGCTGGTGATGGTATAGTGACAACACAGCCCAGCCGGTGCCAGGGTCCCCACGGTCACTACTGCACCTGTGTCTCTCTGTAATCCCAGACTCCCTCCTCGTGAATGTCCTAGTCTGGCCTTGAGGCTCACTTAAACCTCCTTTTCTCCTTCCTGCACTCACCCCTGCCCCAGTGCACCAGCCTAGGTAGCCTGTGTTTTCTTGTGGATGTGACAGATGGGGACAGAGATGCCCTCCAGTCTACACAATATATTCCTCTTTTGCAGAGTATGCGTGTATTTGTGCATCACTCTGTTGGGTGTATGTGCAGCACCTTTCTGCGTAAAATCCCTTTCCATTACGGTGGGTACATGCGTCTGTGTGTGTGATGAGCCTCGTGCCTGCCATTTCCTCTCCTCCCCCAGCTTTTCCAGTTACATAAGCAGCTGAGGGGCGAGTCAGTCCTGGGCTGTGGGCTCCCCCTGCTGGCCACCTCTGGAACCCACATTGGCGGGAGGGGCATGTGGAAGTTTTGCTTCAAGCCCTCTGGTCCTCCATCCCTACCTGCTCTTAGCTCCTTTCCAGCCCCAAGCCATGGGATGAGGACTAGTCTCTCAGATCCCTGAAGAACTCCCTCATAATGCCCATAATGAGGTTTGGTTATTATTTGTTGACAGTATGTTCCCTGCAACACAATGGCTACTTTCCCTGAGGGAAGGGGACCAAGATAGCCTTGACCTTGTTTATCAAAGCACTGTCTTGCTTAGCACAAGGCCTCCCCAATCAGTATTTGGTGTATGAATGAGTGTAACAGGATAGAAAAAGGCTTGGAAGGAGAGTCAGTGCAGTATAGAAAGATTTGGGGACAGGCAGGCCTGGGCTCAAGTCAGGCCTTGATTACTTGAAAGCTGTGTGGCCTTGAGCAAGACGCTTTAACCCTCCTGAGCCTCAGGTTCCTCTTTTGTTAAATGACACCATCTTGTAAAATAGACTGTAAAGGCTAGAAATCACACCCCTTTGAGTACTGCCCTTATTGTGCAAGCATTCCATAAATCTATTATGATGATAATGGTATCTTAACATCTGTCAAACCATAAGAATCAGGAAGGCATTAAATCCATTCAGTTTCTAACTAAAAGGAGAGAATGGTTTTCCTCTAAATGCCTCCCTGGGCCTTTCGTTTTCACACAGCTCAACAAGGACTGTGGATGATTTAGAGAAATGGATCTGAAGAAACCAGTCAAGGCAGGTATGGTTTGGCTTCTGCCACTTCCTGCCTCTTGACCTCAGTTTTCTAGTCTGTAAAGGATGCCACCTAAGTAGAAGGGTGGAGGGGGGTATGAGAAGAGACAGGTAGCAGGGTGGAGGGTGAAGGGTGCTGGAAAAGCTCTGGGGTCACAATCCCGGGCCACTTTGACAGCCTTGGCTTTGCAGACCTGCCTCACCCTTCCTGACCCTCCCTCCTCACTCTCCATCTGCTCCAGAGTACAGGGAAAGACAAAGAACCTAGGTAGAATGCCTCCACCATATCCAGGGCAGGTCCCACACTTCCAAACACAGGGCTATGTCCATCTCTTCTCACTTAATATAGAAACTTCTTCAGCTAATTCCCCTAAGTTTTAGGTCTAAACTAAAAACTAAACTACTTAGAAAGCAGTTTAAATATGAATTCATTTCGTGTTAGTTGCCCTGTGCCAACCAGCTTGTGTACATTACCTCAATTAATCACCACTGTAACCCCTTGAGTGAATGTCAACAATTTCAGCTCAATTTGTGGTTGAATGAGGTTAAGCAACTGGTGCAGGATCCCTCAGCCAGTCAGAAACGGCTCTTGAATGGTCCACTTGCCCAGCACATTTTCCTCTGGTTTTGCCCTCTGAGGGATTGGCAAACAGGTCTCCCATGACCTTCCGGGCCCTGAAGCACTCTGGGACCCAAACCCTTCGCGTTGCGAGCTCCTCTGTCCCTCTGACCCCCACTTAAATCAGCAGGGTTCGCAGCGATGACTAGCGGCTCAGAGAACATAACTGGATTCTGAGAGCTGGCACTCGACTCCCGGGGTAAGGCCCACAGGTGCTCGGCGGGGAGAGGTTTCTCGGCGGGGGTGGGTGGAGATTAGCGGAGGCGAGGCGGGGCCAATTCTGCCCGCCGCGGAGATTCCGAGTCCGCCCGAGTCAGGGGATTAGGGAGGGCGGATCTTGAGGCGGGGACCGAGCCACGGCTGGAGACTGGCCGGGCCTCGGTAGGGCGGGGTCTGGGCGGGGCCCTGTTTGGGGCGGGGCTAGGGCTGGAGACTGGCGGGGCCGCAGCCTGGTCAAACTGTGGGCGGGGCCGAGGCGTGGGCGGGGCCGAGGCGTGGGCGGGGCCAAGGCTGGGGCGGGGCGGGAACGGTCTCCCGAGCTCCCTCGGGCTGGAGGGAAAGCGGTGGGAGGAAGGGGGGAGGGAGGGGACTTGGCGCCTCCTGCTCCGCTCGGCTCCGCGCACCCACGCCTCACTGCTCCGCTTCCTGCCCCCCACCTGGGCATGCGCCCCCTGTACCCCCAGCCCTCCAGAGCCCGCGCAGCCCCCCGGAGCCTCCTTAAAGCCGGCCGCGCAGGATGGGCGCCCCGGGTCCCAAGCCGACGCTGCTGCTACTGCTAATGCTGGGTAAGCTGGGTCCCCGCCCTGTCCTGGGCACCGCAAGGCAGGTGCCGGCCACCCGGCGCCCATCCGGGCCCGCCTTCCCAGCATTTTGGAGCTCTTCGCAACCCCCCCTTCTCCGTCAGGTGTGTCTCCAGTCTCCCCGGGCTTGGCGCCCAGCTTCCCTTTGCGGCAGCCCGCCGAACCAGTCACGCGGAAAAGGGGCTCCCCAGGGCTAGTTCCGTAGCCGGGGGCACAGTGAGGACCCACGGAGGTGCTGCCCGAGGCACCGCCAGGTCTTCGGAGGCAGGCCCTACTTCTCAGCCTGCAGACCCAGTTGCTGGGGTCGTTGTGTCCATTTGGTGCGACTCAGTTGTGTCTCACACTCAGCTCCAGGCCTGGCCTTGGGTGCCTGCCCTGTGTGGGCAGTGCCCGACGGTCTTCATAATTGCCCCAGAGTTGGCTGGAGGCCCAGAGGCTGGTTCTACCCACATCTTTGAAGTAAGTCTCCACTAATTGCTCCCCATACACTTCATCATTTGAGGCTCCCTCCCTTACCCCGATCTCAACCCTTGGTTGAGTTCCTAGGTGCCCTTCTTCCCCTCTGGCACACAGCACTTTGGCCTGTTGTGAGACACCCCCGCCCCCTTAGTCCCAGTTTCCCTGCCTCAAGAGACACCAGGTTCAGAGAGACGATCCTGAGATCTCCAAGTTCCCAGTGTCTCTGGGGTGGGTCCATGGTGGAGTGTACTGGAGCCAACCATGCATTGGGATAGTGACAATGGCCTGAACTGGAGGGTTCCCTGTAGGAGGTTGTCTTGGGAAGAGTGTGGCATGGAAATAGTTAAACTACCTGTACAGATTTTAGGAGACTGAAGCCCTTGAAATAAGAGTGCTGCAAGGGAGGTGGGTGGGACTCCAGAGCTTCTGTAGTCCAGGCAGAGGCCTGTGGTGCCCTGAGCTACACCGTGGTGCCAAGTGCAGTCTTCCCCTGTTGCAGGTCCCTCGGCCTCACATTCCGAGTGAGACCTCTCCTTGGGGCCCTGGGGGTGGGGGTGTGGAGAGGCAGTTCCATGTACCAAGAGGAAGGAGCTGTGGGGATTGGTTGCCTAGCGCTTGCTCCTTTTCCATGGAGCAGGGAGGAGCCCAGGGATGGTGCAGAGAGACAGGAGTCTGTTGGGATCTGAGTGCCCACTGCATGTGACGCTGACATTCATCCACAAATGAGGAAAATGAAAATGAAGTAACCTGCTCTAGGGAGCATATCTAGTGAGTGTTGGGGCCAGGATTCGAACCCAGATCTGACTCCAAAGTAGGTCTCTGCTTTCCTGGCTAGTGCAGGGGAGAGGACCTTGCTGGGAGAGGGAACTGAGCAGCAGCTGATTTCCTAAGGTTGTGGGGGTGACTTTCCCATGGGGATCTCCAAGCATCAGCAGCTGTGGAGCCAGGAAGGTGGGAGGGGGCCTCCTGAGCAATCTGCCCTAAGGCAACCTGGGAAGATATCTGCTGGACTACCTTGCCTTCACCCTGATTATGAAATGTGCCTGGAGCTGGGTCCTCCTGAGTCACACCCTCACTAGCTGCTAGCTGGCTGTCAGAGGTAGAAGCTCTCAGTTCTCTTTTAGTGCAGAAATTGAAGCCTGGAAGAGGAAGGGACTGGTTCCAGACCAAACCACTGGGGATGAGGATGGGCCCGAAAGCCAGCTCCTGCTAGCTTGTGGCCTATCTAACTACTGACCATGTGTTACTCCCCGTGACTCAGCCTGAGGGAGAAGAAAGGGGCCTAGAGCTGGAGGGTGGAGCTGACCCCTGGGTATTTTTCTACAATCCTAGCAGAAAGGCTCTAGAATACCCCTGGGAAGCCTGGGAATGACTGTGGTTGGTAAGGTCCCTTTGGGAGCCTCCCCTTGGAGTCTCCTCATCTTTCTCCCTGGTTTTGCCCCTCTGCAGAGGACTTTCCGGGATAGTAGGATATTGATCAAAACACTGTATTTCTCCTGCCTTACTTTTCTCATCTGTAAGCTGGGAGCAAAGCAGCCTCCTTACATCCTGGGGTTCTTTGATCATATCTGATAGGAGCTGCGGAAAGGTGAAGGGAGAGAAGGAAGCAGTTGAGTGATCCAAGGCTGTCTAAGCTATCTCCTGGGACAGGATGGAGTCTGGTGTAGAGGAGAAAAAATGGGCTGCTGGGGGCTTAGGGCCTTCCAAAAAAGGAGCTATATGTAAATGATGCATATCATATGCAAATGAAGGCTTTGTTAGGGAGTTGGGGGGGGAGGTGCAGTGTACATCAGCTGGGCTAGCCAGAAGATTGGCAGGCACTGGGGGAGGGAATCTTCTGCCCCAGGCAGGGCAGAGCCTGGTTCTTGCAGCAAAAGCCCCAGCTGCCTTGGCAACTCTGTGGGGTAGGAGAAGCAGTGAGCTCATGGCACAGCTGGGGTGGGGAGGGCATTGTGTGATGAGAACTGACTGGGTCTGTGCCCTGTCCAGAGAGGGCCACTGGCTCCATTGTCTGGCCTAGGTGACATAGCTAATAAGCCAATAAGCCCTTCTGAGCAATACTTTTTGGATCCCCTCCAGCAAAGGAGGTCTCGGGATTCCTGAACCAGAAGGCTCCCCTGACTAAGTCCTAAAAAAGTAGAAGCAGACATGGAAGTGGGGAATGGGGTAAGAGAGGTAAGGTCTACATGGAAATGAGACGGGTAAAGTCAGGGAATGAGACGCTTGCTTATAGGTGCTCTGTTTCTGGCCAGCCAGAAATGGGTTGTATTTGATTTCTAAGGCAAACTTGGGCCTATGTCACTTTCTTGAGACCCAGCATCCCTTCCCTGTTCTTGATCAGAGGCTGGCCCTCTGTGTACCAACCTTCTCTGGGTTTCCCTTCCTTTCACAGTCAGGGTCAAGAATGGTGCTGGTGGTCTTGGACATGGAATGGGGACCTAGATACCTCCTACTCCTCTGCCTTTCCCTACAGGAGTCGTGTGTTGTGCCCGGGAGGTGCTGGTCCCCATGGGGCCCCTGTACCGAGTGGCTGGCACAGCTGTCTCCATCTCCTGCAATGTGAGTGGCTACGAGGGCCCTGCCCAGCAGGACTTTGAGTGGTTCCTGTACAGGCCTGAGGCCCCAGAGGCCGCACTGGGCATCATCAGCACGAGGGATACACGATTCTCCTATGCTGTGTTTGGGCCCCGTGTGGCGGCTGGTGAAGTGCAGGTGCAGCGTCTACAGGGTGATGCCGTGGTACTCAAGATTGCCCGCCTGCAGGCCCAGGATGCTGGAATTTACGAGTGTTACACTCCCTCCACAGATGCCCAATACCTGGGCAGCTACAGTGGCAAAGTGGAACTGAGAGGTACTGGGCACTGGGATGGGATGGGCCATATTCACCCTCAGGTTTTGCATTTGAAGAACTTAAGGACCAAAGTATGACTTCAGAGTCACCCAATGAGTCATTGGCTGTTGTGGGACCAAACATAGATCTCTTTTTTCGCAGTCCATTGCTTTTCTTCTATCAGACTACTTTTCGGGAGAAGAGTAAGTGTCCTTCACTATCTAGTCCCACTCTTGGATTGGATGGGGAAGTATGATGGATTGAATACTCTATTCCTAGAGAGTCCAGGACCCAGATTTGGGGAGGGAAAAGTATAGATGGGTAGGAATTATGCCATGGGATATTCTTATGCTGTTAAGTTTGTCCTCTGAGAAGGAAAACAGGGCTAGTTTTCCAAGTATTTCAAATAGGTGCCAGTCTTTAACACAACAGGGAGAGGCAATGGGCTGATTCTGGGAAATTCAACAAGTATTTATTGAGCGCCTTGGTGTGCCCAGCACTGTGCCTGGCACCACTGAGTTACAAAAGAAATAATATAACATGCAATCTTTGCCTTTTGGAGCTCAGGCAGTTCAGGGGATGGATTGTACACAGGAAATAGTAACAAGCCAGTTCCCAGCCTTCCCTCATGCCAGCTGTCCTCTCCAGTTCTTCCAGATATGCTGCAGGTATCTGCTGCTCCTCCAGGGCCACGAGGCCGTCAAGCCCCGACCTCACCACCACGCCTGACGGTGCACGAGGGGCAGGAGCTGGCCCTGGGCTGCCTGGCTCGGACAAATACAGAGAAGCACACACACCTGGCTGTGTCCTTTGGACGAGCTGTACCTGAGGCTCCAGTGGGTCGAGCCACTCTGCAGGAAGTGGTGGGACTCCGGTCTAACTTGGCTGTGGAGGCTGGACACCCCTATGCTGAGCGGCTAGCTGCAGGGGAATTACGGCTTGGCAAGGAAGGGGCTGATCGGTACCGCATGGTGGTCGGGGGCACCCAGGCCGGAGATGCAGGCACCTATCACTGTACTGCTGCTGAGTGGATTCAGGATCCTGATGGCAGCTGGGCACAGATTGCAGAGAAAAGGGCTGTCCTGGCCCATGTGGATGTGCAGACACTGTGTGAGTGCCACACGTCTTGCCACAGGAGGGGGCATCTCAGTGGGGTCCCAGAGTTAGTAGATGATCACTGCCTGACTCCAGGGAACTCATCTTGCATAGATGAGTTCTTCGTCTTGCATAGGGTGAGCCCCCCTGTTGGCACTGCTCTCCTCTCTGCCCATGACAGATTTTCTTTACTTGGAAATTGAGCATGGAGATAGAAGGGCCATGGGTGAAGGGCAGGATTCAGGCCGCTGGGCAGGGGAGATGGTCACACCAAGTGAAGGGTGGACAGGAGGCCTGCAAATTGTTGCTATCCAGGAAGGAATTATAGGTGGGGAATCAGGTGCCTTTGGGTCCCCTTCCCTGAGACGCCCTTCTTCCTCACATGTTTCAGCTAGCCAGTTGGCAGTGACAGTGGGGCCTGGTGAACGTCGGATTGGCCCAGGGGAACCTTTGGAACTGCTGTGCAATGTGTCAGGGGCACTGCCCCCACCAGGCCCTCATGCTGCATACTCTGTGGGCTGGGAGATGGCACCTGCAGGGGCACCCGGGCCTGGCCGCCTGGTAGCCCAGTTGGACACAGAAGGCGTGGGCAGCTTGGGCCCTGGCTATGAGGACCGGCACATTGCCATGGAGAAGGTGGCGTCTAGAACCTACCGTCTACGGCTAGAGGCTGCCAGGCCTGGGGATGCGGGTACCTATCGCTGTCTCGCCAAAGCCTACGTTCGAGGGTCTGGGACTCGGCTTCGAGAAGCAGCCAGTGCCCGCTCCCGGCCTCTTCCTGTGCATGTACGGGAGGAAGGTGAGATGGGGTTGTGTTCTCAGCAGGGTTTGGGGCTTCTAGGACCCTTTCCTCCTATTTCTGTGCCCCTATCCCAGTTCATTAGCTGTTGCCGTTCTTCAGTCTCACTCTTCCATCAGGATTGTGGGAATAACCTGAGTTTTCTGGATACTTGCTTCAACACTAACCCTGACACCATAAATCCTGACTCTTTGCTCTCTGATCCCATGTCCTTCATTTTGCAGGAGTGGCACTGGAGGCTGTGGCATGGCTAGCAGGGGGCACGGTGTACCGTGGGGAGACTGCATCCCTGTTGTGCAATATCTCTGTGCGTGGCGGCCCCCCAGGGCTGCGGCTGGCTGCCAGCTGGTGGGTGGAGCGACTAGAGGAGGGGGAGCTGAGCTCTGGCCCTGCCCAGCTGGTAGGCGCTGTGGACCAGGATGGTGTGGCAGAGCTGGGGGTCCGACCAGGTGGAGGCCCTGTCAGCGTGGAGCTGGTGGGTCCCCGAAGCCATCGACTGAGACTGCACAGCTTGGGGCCTGAGGACGAAGGTGTGTACCACTGCGCCCCCAGCGCCTGGGTGCAGCATGCTGACTACAGCTGGTACCAGGCAGGCAGTGCCCGCTCGGGGCCTGTCACAGTCTACCCCTACATGCATGGTGAGTGACTCCCCTCCCTCCACCTGCCATACCTCTGCTTCCTCCCAGCCCTTGTCCTGTTCTTCCCTTTCCATCTTCCCAACCTCCTGCTGCTATCACTTCGCATGAAGAGCCCCTGAGTGCCCATCTGTGCCATGGCAGAGGGCAGGCAGGGAGCAGGGAGGGCTCTCTGTGCATGTAGGGGGTGAGTCCAGAGAACCTGAAGGCGAGAGTGTGACGGAGGGTGGGGAACGATGGCACTCCCCCTGAACACAGCCATCCTCTCTCACTCAGCTCTGGACACCCTATTTGTGCCCCTTTTGGTGGGTACAGGAGTGGCTCTAGTCACTGGCGCCACCATTCTTGCCACCATCACCTGCTGCTTCATGAAGAGGCTTCGAAAACGGTGATCCCTTGCTCCACAGGTGAGCGGAAGAAACCTTAGCCCTGTCTTCTTTAGGCTTCCCCAAACTGCTGCGTGGCTTCCTCCTGGGCCCCACCTGGAGGAGGAGCAACCAGCGTGGTTCTGTAGGATCCTGTTAGTGGGGCGAGGGCTGAGAGGGAGCTGCACTTAGGGCTTGTCCTCAGTCCACGCTGCATTCTCTCTCCAGTTCTTGCAGGTGTCAACTGTCTTCCAGCCAGCTCCAAGTCCTCCTCTGGTTGCCCGGATACCCTCTCCCTTTGGCCACCCTTCCTTTAATTTATTTGACCTACCCCCATGCAAAGTGGGAGACATGGCCCCATGTCCCACACTTTCCTGCCCCGGCTCCTCCCTCTGGCCTCTGTTCTTGGTCTTATAAAAAGGCTATTCCATGTCCTTGAACTAGTTTTTCTAAAATGTGAATAAATTTGTTTTATAAAATCCAGGCCTAGCTGTTTTATAAAATCCTTCTCCTGCCACGAGGCTGTAAAAGGCTGGGGTATGCAGTAGTGAGGTTGTTGGGGGCTGATAACCTGGACAAACCACGCCTCTCTTCCCACCATAAACACCATCTGGCCTCCATGGGTCTTGTCACCCACCCCAGGAGGAGACACCTGGGTCCCATCTGCTGCCTGAATTGTCAGTGCCGAACCAACTCCTAAGGGGGCTCCTGTTTGGGGAGGGGACCCTTCTCCCACATTATGGGCAGGGACTTCCAGGGGCAGTGCCTTTCTGAGCTCCCCTGACTTGGCCACAGCCCCCTGCCTGTCTTCATTTTCCTAGTCGAGCTAGTTTCAAACCTGTCTCCTCCCTCCAGGCCCTGGGGCCTCAGTCTTTTTCCTCCTGACCTTAATTATGCTTTCTGGCACAGCAGAATAGGTTTCCTAGAACAGGGACAACAGCATTCGGGGAAGGGCCTCCATTGACTATGTCCATCAAGCTGCTACCCCTACATACCCGACCCTGCTGGCTTCCCCACCCTGCCTACTTTCACCCTTTGCCTAAGGATCCTCTGATCTTAAACTTCTGGCCTGTTCTGCCCCTATAGAGGCATCCAGTCTACCTCTTTTAATTATTTAACATTTATTGAGCATAGCTGGTTTGCTAAGTGTCGTTTTTTACAGATGAGGAAACTGAGGCCCAGAGAAGTGATGAAACTTGATGAGCATCACTCCTCTGGGATGTGAACAAGTCGTAGAGCGAGTCAGTGACGGTGTCGGCACTAAAACCCAGGTCTCCTGACTCTTTGCACTGTACAGTGGTGTCCTGAGTGGTGACAGTGGTGAGGACAGGTGTGGCCACAACTTGGTGATTTCCAGGAGAAGGAGGGATCTGTTTTAGCCTCAGTTTCTCTTTCTGTTCAATTACAGTGGTTTCAGTGCTGTGTGTGTGTGTGTGGACCAAGAAGACCCCCACTAGAGACTTCACCTGTTCCACTGAATTAAACCCAGAGTGCTCCCCATCCCCTACCCCAATATCTATTCTTGGGAGAATAGCTGTCATCAGCATTCTAGGACCTTGTCTCTGACTGAAGGTGACCCAGGTGGCCCTGGGACCCAAGGCAGACACCCATGCCTAGACTGAAGGGAAGGCATGGGGCTTAGGTCTTCCTTCTTGCCTCTGGAAGGTGCAGTGCCACTGGGATCCTGGCTTCCCAGCCTGAGATGGAACAGACTAGGGTGTCTGCCTCCCCTCAAGGGGCTGAGACTTGTTATTCAGAGACGTGAGTGGGGAGCAGTCAGGCTGGGAGACGAAGGTCCTGGTAGGTCCCTTCAGGGTGTGCTCGCCTGGGCGGTACTTTTCTCCAGGAAGCCAACCTCAGGTTCTCTCAACCAACCTTCTGCCTTTTTTTCAACTTGTCATTGCTCTCCCCTTGCCATCCTGGGATGACTGGGGTGAGACTGTGCATCTCCAGGGATTCCTGTTCCGGGGGGCCTGACAGCAGGCAGTCAACACACCCAGATGTTTGGACTCTCGTTTCCTCCCATGTTCACTTCTGCCTTTTCAATTCTACAAGGGATTTGGTCCTTTGCCTTTGAAGCCCTTTCTGCTTCAGTTCCCCATTACCTCTTTAGGGGTCTCCAAGAGGCCTTCCTTCCAACTACTTTGTCCGATGTGTCTTGCCCATTTGTCTTACCAAACACCACCTCAGTTTGTCATTGACCAGTTCCCACTGAATCCCTAGTCCCAAAATTAAACCCGTTAGCCTGGGCTTGGGTCTCTTTTCCCATACACAAAACTCTACCTCTCACATTTCTCGGCTCCCCCAGGAGTCTCAGTTTCTTTTCAGCTACTCCCCAGGTTATTTGACCCCTTAAAGTGTGGTTCCCAGTCCAGCAGCATCAGCATGACTTGGAAACTTGTTAGACATGCACATTTTTGGTTTCCACCCCAGACCTATTGAGTCAGAAATCTGGGAGTGGGGCCCATCACTATGCGTTTTAACAAGCCCGCCAGGTGATTCTAATGCCCAGAAAAGTTGTACAACTTTGGCCTTTCATCATTCTCTCTGCCTGACCCAATTCCTACTATCTGATCACCAGACGCCGCCCACTCCCTGCTCCAAGAGACAGCATAGGTTCTCTGTGCCAACGGTACCTGGTTTGGTTGCCATAGCTGTATGTGTGCTCGTTCCATGTGTCCTGTGTTCTGGCTATAGGAATGAGATCTTTGAAGGTCTACCGCATCTAGCACTCAATCAGTGATTTGGACAATCTGCCTAACTGCCTCAAGGACAAACTCTGCTTCCCCTAGAACCACCATCTCTCTCCAGGACAACACTTTCTAGATCTCTCCCCTGGCCCTTTGCTTCTGAATCTCTCCCATCCTACCTCTGCAGTAGTACCCGCAAAATCTTATCTCTTGTCAGAAAATAGCCACCCCTGGATCCCCCCTCCCAGGACCTGCTCCAGAGCCCCAGCTCCAGCATCTGTCCTCACTGCCTGTTGTCCTACACCTGAGTACCAAGGCCATTGAAATTTGCTGAGCTCTCACAGCAAGTTACCTCCTCCTGAGTCTGTCCAGTGGGAGGGTGGAGCTGGGGGGTGGTCCTCATCTGTGCCTGCACCTGTCTGGCTTTCTCTCCTCTGGTTCGGCTTGGGCTACTCCATTCATTTGAGATAGGTGTGTCACACACAGAGAGGATGCCGAGGAGGTGAGTGGGGACTGCATTCCATCTCACACTGTTCCTCAAGCCAAGCATCCTGGTTTGGGGCTGCATGTGTCTGGAGGAAAAAGATGCCTTTTTAGAATTTGCACAAAGGTGTGCTATGGTAGCTACAGCCCTGAGTGCACCAGCTGTCCAGATAAATGGTACCAACTGATTGGTTCATTTACCTGTCCATCAGTTGCCTTTTTGTCACCATCTTCCCATCTAACCCCCATAATACCATCCTTCTGCCCATCTATCCACCCATGAACAGATGGCGAAGGTCAAACACAGAGAGATGGTGTGTTTGCCCATCCCCATCTTCCATTCTCCTCAAATCAAGGAACTTCCCTTCCCTTGTATTCTGGACTCAAGGTTCTCAAGGAACCTCTCTAACTTTAGCACCTTCTCTGGGACCTCACCTGGCTCCTCTTCCACCTCCAACACCCAGCTCCCTATGTACCTGTGTCTGGCCCCTGGTCTGCTACAGGGGTTTGGAGGAAACTGGTCACACCTTAGACTCACTCTCTGGGGGTGGAAGGCAGCCATTCTGTTCCTTGTCAGCGTCAGCTTCCCCACCTGCCCCTTCCACTGCCCCCTCCTCCTCCACCCTCTCATCCAGCCGACTGGGGATAGACCAGTAGAGATGGGCGTCAAGGCGGGCTGCAGCCTCTGCCAGCTCCCGGGCACTGCATGAGGGCGTGGGCACTTCAAAAGTCTGGTGGAAGCTGGCATAGTCCACCTCGTAGAAGCCATCCTCCAGGGTCAGCACTGATGTGAAGCGGTGGCCCCATAACACCTCATCCACCAGGTAGGAGCTCCGAGCTTGGCATGTCATTCCTGGGGAAAAGGAGCATGGGTCAGGGGATCCCAGCCCCAGGCTTCTCTCTCCTGTCTCTATCCCACAGTCCCATTCCTAGCACCCTTCCTGCCATCTCTCCCCCAGGCCCCCACCTCACTTTGGTCCAGCCTATTTTCTTCCCCGTTCCAATTCCTGTTCTTGTCTACCCACATTTCATTTCCTGGCTCATGCTTCCCCCTTCTTAACCTTGAAACTCATCTTAAGGATTGTCTATTTCAATTTCCCACTCCGCATTGGGTTCCCAACAATGGGGCATCTACTTGATTACCTCCCAGGATTGATGGCCTACCGTCTGAGAAGAAGCCCATGTCTTTGTGTGATTGCTCTAATACTTGGGTTGTTTTTCTTTATGTAAACTAAAATCTTTCTCTTGGGATTTCTACCCCTTGGTCTCAATTCTCTTCCTACTTGACACTCCTTTGAGTATATAAAAATAGGATTCAGGTTCCCTTTTGTTTTCTTCCAACTAAATATCCCAAACCTGACCTGTTGGCGAAAAATTTTACTTTCTTGATTGCAAACCAGTAAGGCCAAAGAGGACTCTTGAAGTGTCCCTTTGAGTGCGATAAATTCTCCAGTTGTGGCCTGAATCATGCATAAAAGAAGGCTCACTATCTCTTGCTTCTGGCCAGGATGCTGCAGCTAATAGGGCCTGTGATTACATTACATAAACGCTTCTGGAAGCTGCATCACATTGCTACATCAAGCCTGTGGCCAACTAAATCCCCCACTTCTTTTTTTTTTTTTCACCAGAGCTCCATGCTGTGCTTACATAAGTGATTTTTTTTTAAAGCCTAAATGTAGAATTTTATATTTATTCCTTTAAAATGTCATCTTGTTGAGTTTTGGCTCATTATTCTTGTTTTTCAAAAGCACTTTAAATCCTAAAATATTACCATCCTTCCTAGCTTTATTGCTCTAGAAAAATCAGACAAGCTCCCATCCCTATCATCTCTACCTCACCCTCCCCAATTCTCCCTGTTGGGCTATTGCACGCCCAGGGCCAGTCAGTCTCCTCCTACACCGGGGTCTCTCCCCAATTCATCTCCATACAAGGGGGAAACAGAAAGTGACTATTAACTAACCAGAGACTGGTTCTAACTTTGAAAGTCTGGCCCTGAGACATCTTGGGGGAAGGCTAGAATAGGAAGAATCCCTCTGGGGAGGAGAAAAGGCACGAGAGTCACTGCAGAAAGGGGGGCTGATAGGAAGAAAGGCAGGTACTGAGGTTCAAAGGGAAAAGAGAGCAGGTCAGGAGGTTCCCAGGGTCCTGCCTGAGATACTGGCTAAAAAGGAGTGACAGCTAGAGGTAAGGAAAGGGAATAGGGTGAGTGGGGAAGGGAGAGAGCTGAGTGAGCCCAGTCTGAGTGAAGGTGGAATAAGAACATTGAGAGGGGAGTTAGTAAGGGTGGGGTGGGGCTGAAGCCTCATCTCAGTTCGAAGGGGCCAAGGAAGGGGTCTGAAGGCACCAACTTGTCATAAAATGATAGCAGGGAGCTACAGCCCTGGCCCTAGTAGAAGGAGCTGCAGCGCCCCCTAGGGCCTTTATTCCTCACCTGCATTTTCCTTATTCTCATCCAACTTCTAGATCTCAAGTCCTAAGGAAATTTTCTGCTCCTATATTATTTTATTCATACCTGCTCCCAAACACATCACTGGGTAGGCCCCAGCTGAAGATACTGACATCACATGTGAGTCTCCAGTTCCTTCTGGGAAGGGGCCAGAATCGGTACCATAATCTATTTCCTTGTCAGTAGAAGTTGAGAGTCTTGGTGAGTTGATGGGATAACTGAGACAGAAGTGAAACTAGGTATCAACCTCTCCTTCAGGTCCTCTTCCAGGAATAACTCCGGCCAGGGAAAACCTTCACCATCCCATTCAGGGAGCCCAGTCCTCTTGGCAACAAGAAAAATTCTGAACCTAAACTTTCATTCCAACTAGGGATCACTAAGCACTGAAGCTAGATCTCATATGTCCAGTCCAGGCACAGCTACTTATTGGCTTATGACAGTGGAACACGTACTTAAACTCTTTTGGGGGCTATCTCATCTCTGAAAAATGAACACAATAAGTTACCTTCAGAGGGTTCTTGCTATAATTAAATGAACTGAAAGGTATAAAGGGCTTTGAAGACTGGGGATGTCCCTTGGTGCTAGAGTGCTTGCCTGGCATGAGTGAGGCCCTGGGTTCCATCCCCAGTGCCACACACACACACACACACACACACACACACACACACAAAGGTATGTGTGTGTGTGTGGGGGGGGGGAATGGCGCATCACACAGAGCAAGTATTACCAGTGTTATGGATTATTATTACTCTTCTTACTCCATGTGACACATTGCTCCAGTAGGGGTCCCCTGGCCCTCACTTTGTTCATACTTCTAGCTTCCACCTAGGTGCCAGGCTGCACTATCTCACCTCGATGTCTGACCTCACCATCTTTTGCAACTTCCCAGGCCCTCCTTTTTCGCGACCTCCCTCCCCTCCTAGAGCTCGCCCGCACCCGTTGCTTCCACCATGCCCTCTAGGATGACCACGATCTCGAAGTCGTCTCTCTCCATAGCACGTCGCGACGCCTCCCAGAAGGGGCTGGCAGCATCGATCTCATGGCTGATGACAAGAGGGGAGACCAGGAAGAGGCGATCGTCACCGGTATCGAAGCCCACGCTGAGATCGGTCTGGTGCAGCGGGATGAACTCGCCCTCCAGCGTCTGGCGCGAGCGGATGAGCTTGGCGCGGATGGACGCCTCCACAATGTGCGAGGAGCGCAGGTCGCCCACGCGGAACATGAGGCAGAGGCGCCCGTCGCGCAGGGACACCACCGCGTGAGAGGAGAAGACGAGCGTGGCGGCGCGCTTGTTGGGCTGTGAGATCTTGACGAACATGCAGCCCACCATGAAGGCGTTCACCATGGAGCCGAGGATGGCCTGCAGCAGCAGCAGCACGATGCCCTCGGGGCACTGGTCGGTGATGACGCGGTGCCCGTAGCCGATGGTGGTCTCGGTCTCAATGGAGAAGAGGAAGGCGGCCACAAAACCATTGAGGTTGTTGACGCACGGCGTCCACGCCGTGTCCTCCAGGTGCTCCAGGTCCCCGCGTCCGTAGGCGATCAGCCACCAGATGGCGCCGAAGAACAGCCAGGTGAGCGCGTAGGCGAGCACGAAGAAGAGGAGGCTGAGGCGCCACTGCAGGTCCACGAGCGTGGTGAACAGGTCGGTCAGGTAGCGGTACGTCTCGCGGACGTTGCCCTGCTGGACGTTGCACCGGCCGTCCTTCTCCACGTAGCGCTGGCGGCCGCGACGCCGCGGTGGCTCCTCCGGCCCCGGTGAGAAGGCCGCATTTTCTTGCGCCATGACAGCGCTGGGCGACAGGCGACCGTCGACAGGCTGCAGGCGTCGTCCTCAGTGCAGGCACAGAGCGAGCCTGGAGACCGCCGGGGGCCCCTCGGTGGCGTCGGGGGTCCTGGAGGGGCTTAATAAAAGTTTACCGAGTTAATGGACCTTCCCGGCCAGCCCCGAGTGGAGTAGCCCTGAGGGACTCCCTTTGTGTTTCTTTGCCTCAGTTTTCCTATCAGTACAAGGGGAATAATGCACACAACGCTATCTGCCCCTAAGCTCAAAAAGTTGTATTGATTAAATGGTAAATGCACATGAACTGGATATAGTTCATAGTAATGCAAGTTCAACGATTATTTTTCAGGAAAAGGAGGTACTCCAGGACCTAAACCTTGGGTCAACACCTCTAGCTGGAGTGTTCAGCACCTCACAGGAAAGTCCCTAGACAAAACACTCAGGCCATAAGGGAATTTCTGAAATCATTAGACGTGGGCTCCTTGGGGGCAGGCAGTTAATTGGCCTCTCTTCTTGACCTAAGGACTTGGTCAGTGTAACCACCCACTGAATTCTCTACGGTTCAACCTGAAGGCTCTTTTGAAGTTCAACTCAAGATGGATGCACAAAAAGCCTTTCCCATTCTTCCCTCCCTGGACCTCACTCTATCCACTCCTCCCTATACTCCCCGCCCCCCCACAACAGACTTACCAAGGAGAAAGAAATGTAAGCTGTAGCGAGCAAGGATTGAATATTTCCATAGTAGGACATTCCCATTGGAAATGCCCCTGGAGGCCTAACTATGATCATTGCTGCTCTAGTGTCACGCCATTTTCCCTGGGTGCTCTCCCCCTGGAGACAGCCTGAAAGTAGAGGATGAAACCCACTGAGCTCATCCAGAGTTATGCCCTTGGCACACTCTTCCTCATGAGAGATGAAATCAGACCAAGTGAAGCACTGAGCACCTCATCTATTTCTCTGCCTGCTCTAGTTCTTTTCTCACAGCCTCCTACTTCCCATTCACTATCCTAAGCCAACCCCACTCCCACCTGCCATATGCCCCAAAGCCTACATTCCAAGCGAAGCCCACCTGATTTTGCTTCAAATTCTTCCTCTGAGGAGCTCTCTGAGCTGCAATCTGCCCGGAGAGACAGAGGTCTGAAGTCCTTTCTTAGTCACCCAGGGACTCCTAAGCAGTATGAACCACAAAAGGAAAAGTCTAGAATAAGAAGTTAGGAACAGTCAACCTTTCCTCCTCTTTCCTGGGAACTGTCCTCTACTCCCAATTCCAAGGAAGCCTGGGCTGGCTGTGGGGGAGGGAAGCAGGAGTGTGGCAAAAAAGATCACAGATGGCCTGGATGTTTGACCAGTTCCTGGGGAGAAACTGGCTGGACATATAACTGCAAATCCAACACCCTGGATTTTAAACTCTGGAGCCAAGTGCTTTGCACCCAGACCTTTGGAGAGACTATGTATGTGTTGGGGTAAAGGACAGAAGGAGAAATGAAAAAGAGATGACTTGGAACTTAGAGGCACTCCCACATTTATTTTCCATGGAGTCATGGGACAACTAACTCCATGGAGGATCCAGGGTCACCTTGGCAATAGCAGATTAGGACCTTTCCCCCTCCCCCAACAACAGGCTTCTTCTCCCTTCCCTGTAGCTCAGGATGTCCTAGAAGTGATCTGGCTTGGAGACCCCAGGTCATGCAGTAAAGTAGCCAGGTAGGATGCATCCTAGCTTTAACCCAAAGTGGCTTCCAGACATTCTCTCAGGGTTTGGGTAAATCTGACCTCTATCTCTCTGCCCAGGCTTGAGCAAGGGACCCCAATGTCTGATAAACCCCAGAACTCTCTTGCTCTCCATTGTCCTAGGGATATAGTGAGCCTTCTTTTGAATGTGTCCCATGTCCCGTCTTCCTGAGTGAGGAGGGGCTGTATTTCTGTCATGGGGAAGGAAAGGTGTGTAATTGTTGCCTCTGTCTCAAGATCAAAGACTTGACTTTTGCATCTTCCCTCCAATAATTCTAGTTCCTCCAAATCTACTCCTACTTCCTGGGCATGCTATGACCCCTTTCTAGAATATCCCAGCACCACGTTTTCCTGGGCTCTTTTTCCTTCCCCTCGAGGGTGCTGGGCAGCAAGGGGACTCATTTTTTGGAAGGAGATCTGGTAAAATCTCCCTCAGAAACCAGTTCCTCCCAAACCCCCACTTGCCTTGGATACAGGGGCCCAAACCCCAAGTCCCCCACAACTCAACTCACAGCTCGTGGAGAAGAGAGTAGCCAGCAGCAGAGACCCTGGGGGGGGTGCCGTCCATGCCCCTGACACCGCCCCCACCCCGATGGGCCCCCTTGGAGAATGGGAGCCGCAGACACTGCTGTTTCTCCTAAAGGTAGCGGCAGCTCCGACTAGGACTTGCTATCTGTGTCATCCTCACTTCCCAGGCTCCCCTGCTCCTTTCTCGTTTCCATGGCAACCAGTCTGGCGACAGCTCCAGAGCATCCCCCTCCTTCCCCCAGTCTTGGGTACCACTAGGGGCTGATCTACACGCCACAGCTATTTTTAGTCAAAGTCCCTCCTCCTGGACAACTCAGAGCTTGCCTCCTCACCCCCTCAAAGGAGAGAGAGAGAGAGAGAGAGAGAGAGAGAGAGAGAGAGAGAGAGAGAGAGAGAGAGAGAGAGAGAGATCAGAAAAGAAAAACAAATGCTTGCATGCTGGTCCTTTCCTAGTGAGCTCCTTACTCTGGGAAACTATGGGCTTTGAGGTGTTTGGGAATAAAATGTTTGGTTTCCTGGAATTTCAAAGGGCCATTTGGGAGCTCACCACTGCCAACAGGGTCCTCTGTTTGCAGGTACTGCTCTGGGGTCAGGCCACCATCACAGCCTCTATTTTTGGAGAGGCCTCTGATCCAGAAAGAGGCTGCTAGAGGGTAAAGATATCCACTGGAGGCAGGAAAGGGAGACAGGGTCAGGATTCTAATCCTTGTCACTGATTTGTGATGTGACCCATAGGAGTCTCTTTACTTCCCTGAGACACAGTCGTTTTATCTATCCCAGAATATGTGCATGCGCAAACAGCCCCTTTCTACTTATTTCACACAGTGTGCAGGTCAAGTCAGGCAATATAAATAGAAGAGCTTTGAAATATATTTTGTTAATATCAAAAAGTTGAGAAACAACCCAGATATACAACAGAAAGAAAAGTTTAGGTTAGTACTCGTGATAACTATTTATCCTTCAGCTTTTAAAATTTTTTTTTCTTTTTCTTTTTTTGGTGGTACTGGGGATCAAACCCAGGGGCACTCAACCACTGAGCTACATTCCCAGCCCTTTTTAGTTTATTTTGAGACAGGGTCTCATGAGGTTACCGAAGCTGGAATCGAACTTGCGATACTCCTGCCTCAGCCTCCCAAATAGCTGGGATTATAGGTGTGCACCACCATATCTTGCTAAGACTTTGTGTGTGTGCGTGTGTGTGTGCGTGCATGCGTGCGTGCGTGCGTGCGTGCATGTGTGTTTTGAGAATCAAACTGAGGGCCTCTTGCATGCTAGGCAAACACTTTACCACTGAGCTATATAGACCTAAGATTTTATTTCTTTAGGGCAGTTTTAGGTTCACAGCAAAAGTCAAGAGAAAGGTACAGAGATTTCCCATGTGTCCTCTGACCCTGCACTTTATAACCTCCCCCATTTTCAACACCTCCTGCAAGAGTGGTACTTCAGTTACAATTGATGAATTTACATTGACACAACATAATCACCCAAAGTCCATTGGATTTACATGATGATTTACCCTTGGTGTTGTACATTCTGTGGCTTTTGATAAATATTTAACAACATGTATTCACCATTACAGTATCATGCCAAGTAGTTTCACTGCCCTAAAAATCCTCTGTGCTCTGCCTAGTCATTCCTTCCTCCTACTAATCACTGGCAACCTCCGATTCTTTTACTGTCTCCATAGTTTTGTCTTTTCCAGAATGTCATATAGTTGGACTCCATATAATATGTAGCTTCCCAGATTGGTTTCTTTCACTTATACATTTTTTTGATGGGAGGGGTGGTGTTGGGAATTGAACCCAGGGCCTTACACATGCTAGGCAAGTGCTCCACCACTGAGCTATCCCCCCAGCCCTAACTTGTAAAGGTTGCTCCATGTCTTTCTTTTTTAAAGTATATTAATTTTGTTTTTTTCCACCTTTGTTTTGTTTGTTTATTTTTATGTGGTGCTGAGGATCGAACCCAATGCCTCACACATGCAAGGCAAGTGCTCTACCACTGAGCCATAACCCCAGCCCCTGCTCCATGTCTTTTTATGGCCTGATAGCTCATTTATTTTTGGTGCTGAATAATAATATTCCCTTGTCTGGATGTGCCACAGTTTATTTATTTATTCACCTCCTGAAGGACATCCTGCTTGCTTCTGAGTTTTGGAAATTACGAATAAAGCTGCTATAAACATCTGCCTGCAGGGTTTTGTGTAGAAACAAGTTTCCAACTCCTTTGAGTAAATAATCAAGGAGCACGAATGCTGGATCCTGTGGTGAGAATATGTTTAATTTTGTAAGAAACCACCACACTGTCTTCCAAAGTGGCTCTGCCATTTCGCATGCCCACCAGCGTTGAATTCCTGTTCCTGTGGCTCCACATCCTTGCCAGCATTTGATATTGTCAACTCCATGCTTTTTCTGCATAATGTAATAACCGTGGCATATAATATAATAGGCTAGTATGTTGGAAATCAAAGTAACAGTCATGTTTATGTATGTGAATGTGTGTATAGATAGAATGTTATGTAAACAAAGCACATCACTAAATGTTCTTATAAGTTGATTGTGTTTATATGGGAGCACTGAAAAAAATCAGGAAAAAAAAATCTTGGGGAAAATGGAATACCTCAAGGTCCATTTTCCCTCAGAGAAGTTAAAAAAATTTTTTTTTCAGTTTAGGGATTGAACCAGGGTCTTGTACCTGATAGGCAAGTGCCCTACCACTGAGCTACATCCCCAGCCCCAGTTCCAGGGAAATAATTAAAAGCAGAGTTGTATACAGATCCAAGGTGTTATTGTTGTTATCTCTATTGTTATATCCAAGATATAGATCTATTCTTTTATAGATCTTTTAAAGTTGGAAGAAAATATGAATTGGAGGAGCAGAAAGATGTAAAAATGAACACTGGCAGGCTAGATGTTTCTGGAATGAATTTGCAAGTTGGGAGGCAGTGGGGGATGCTGAATAATATAAACTTGGGGGGCAATGACGTGGGTTAAAAATCTCAACTCTGTCCTCTGATACCTGGGTGACTTTGAGAAAATTTTACTTTGCCTCTCTAGACCTCTACATATTTTTCATCTAAAAAATGAGAGGGGCTGTGGTTGTGGCTCAGCAGTAGAGTGCTTGCCTAGCACGTGTGAGGTTCTGGGCTCCATCCTCAGCACCACATACAAATAAACAAATAAAATAAAGGCATATGTCCATCTACAACTCCAAGAGATTTTTTTTTTAAATGAGAATAACTATGTTATCCATTTCTTGAGGGTTGTCACAAAGATGACATAAAGCAATGCCCAATATGTAAGTACCACATAGATGCTAGCTTCTATTTTCCTCTCTCTCTTCCTCCTCCTCCTTCTTCACTCTCATAGTCAGCCACATCATACCATCATCCCAGGGACCTTTCAATAGTCCCATCCATTTTGTGCCACCTTCCTCTGTCTTGGCACCGCCCAGTAAGACCTGCAGGGGGCACTCCTGGTGCACTGCCCTCTGCCCAACCCTTCTGCCTGTGTTTCTTGCTGTTTCAAGTGGAAATATCGAGTTTTCAGCCTGAGATTGGCATCAAGACTGCTGTTAAAGCCCCAGTCAACATCCCTGTCTCCTGGGCCTCGCCTTGTCACCTGAGCCTTGAGACTGCTAGTCTGCCCTTCTCTGTCCTGCCAAGTGGCTGCTCACGTTGGTTCCACTGTGCCAGGATCTCAGAGAGAAGAAACCAAACTCCTGGGCAAAATGAATTTGCATACAGCTGGCCCCATTTGCTGAAGGGGGGAATCACAGGGCTGGCAGTGCCCGTCAGAGGGTGTTTTCAGTCAGCCCCCTGCCTCAGTCCTGGCTGCCCTGAACCATGCTACTCTCACCTGATTGATTTACTGAGCTGCAGGTTTTATACTTTACCTGTTATCTAGCCTCAATTCCTTGTTTATCACTGAGCTTGAAGTGAGGTAGGAGAAAAATAAAACTTTTCCTAGGCACCAGGATAACAGAAAAATAGGCAATAATACTTGTAGGTACTGAGAGAATGAAGCAGCTTTGCAAGGAATCAATCCAAATATGTCAGTTATGGTGATGAGAGGTTGCAACTGAAAAATATTGAGGACAGGAAGGGCACCGTTGGGGCCACTCTGCTGGTCTATACAGAAATTTGGTGCAAACTAGAAAAAGCAGCCCACTGGGTAAGGCAGTCCTTGTGGTATGTGGCTTGGAGAAGAGGTGGGATTTTTTGGGGAAAATAAGTTCCCTTCCTCCACCAAGCCCAGCTCTGGGTTCTGGTGGGAGGACTGGCAGCTTGGTGGGGGTCCGCTCTTTTCTTGTGCCATTAGCTGTTGTTTTTGTGGCAAGCCCTGGGGTCAGTCCATCTGGGAAGATTTGCTTGGGCAAGATCTTGGGCCTTCTTGGGCAAAAGCTTGGAGACTGGAAGGAAAGCATGAAAGGTTGAGGAAATGTGCTTGGTGGAGCAGGGAGGCCAATCTAGTAGATTATATAAATGCCTATAAATTCAAAAGAGATGGAGCCCTAGAATACTCTGGACAGAGGAAGGATATGGCCAAAGAACCACAGCTGGAGACTCCAGTGAAATGTAGAGCAGCACAGCACAGCTCCAGGACCAACAGTCTTGGCTGGGCTCCTGAGGCTGCGGTGCTTCCTGCCTTTCTGGTATTTTCATCACAGCAAGAGGACCAGAAGCCTCCCCACACATGGTTCTGGGTTGGGAAGAGATAGACTGGGATTTTAACATTGACATTTAGAATGTTCCAGGAGTTGCCTCATTTACAGGTAATAAATGAGTATCCAACTCTAACTTCAGGTGTGTGGTCACTTCTTTCTTTCTCTCCCCCCCCACCCCGCCCCCATTTTTTTTTTCCTGCAACCAGGGTGCTCTACCACCAAGCTATTATCCCAAGCCCTTTAAATTTTGAGACAGGGTCTCATTAAGTTACTGAGGCCTATCTCAAACTCGTGATCCTCCTGCCTCAGCCTCCTGAGTCACTGAGATTACAGGTGTGCACCACCACACCTGGCTTCTGGTTATTCCTCCCTCCTCCAACCTTCCTTCCTCCCTCCCTCCCTCCCTTCCTTTCTTCCTTCCTTCTGGTCCTGGGGATAAAATCCAGGGGCACTTTACCACTGGGCTACATCACTAGCCCTTTTTATTTTGAAACAGGGTCTTACTGAGTTGCTGAGGTTG